AACCATTACTGTCGACTATTTAATTGCACAAACATAATATTGTTACGATAGTGATTATCCGCGCGTGAACTGCCTTCGCGTAAGTTATTATTCTGTAGAAATTTGATACAATTTGGCCAACGATTATTATGGCTCTTTCGAACTTCAGGTAATTAATTTATGACTTTCGATCCGTTTTTTATGACAGAAACTTGCAGTACCTTGTATTACTTTTGTGTGATCTCATTGTATTTCTGAATTAATCTAGTTGATTTATTCAGCTATTGGAAGGACGTTCACTTGAAGGTTGATTGATTATTAGCCAGAAAATTTGTTGCAAACACTAACGTCAAAATTTCTTAAACTATTTTAGGTTAGAATATTTCATTACAAGTATTTCTGCTGAAACACGAGCATTGACGATAATGCATAATAAATCTCGAGGATGGTTAAAGTTGGTTGAATGGGATTCAGAAAACTTCGTACAAACTGGGTTTAAAAAATTTTACCCGGGCATAGAGTAAATTCTAGATTTACTCAGATAGAAAGTAAAAAAATAAATTCACATGGAGTACATTTATATTTACTATTACATTTGAATTTTATTCTGTCTCATATTATTAACTCGATTATAATAATTATGTAGCGGTTTCAGTGTTTATTAGGCCGTAGACCTGTCGCCGATTCTTAACAGCGCAGAACATTCACAACTTGTTGCGGTCTCGTTCACGCAGCTTACTGCTCTAATTTTGCTGTGCTTAACCGCCCGGCCTCCTTGCCGATTCTGACCAGAAACTGGCGCACAGAGCTGGGATCGAACCCGCACCTCACTGCTCCAATCCTGGTCCTCTAGCTTAACTGTAAACACTTGGCCTCCGTTGAATTATTCTTCATGCATAACCGATGTTATTATTGTGTTGCTTGATACCATTTCCCAATTGTTGAAATTTTAGAAAAGACTCGGATGAATCGAATTGATTAAAACGGGTACACGCAGACTGTAAAGATTTTTATAGTTCTCGAGTTTGTTGAAGAAAATCATCTCAAGGACTTGGATTCTTTGTTTATGAATTAGCATTTTAATTCTTTTGAATGAACTTCATACTTGGTCAGATTTTTCTTTAGTTGAGAATAAAATTGGTGTTGATTATGCATATTTGCATAACGACAGTTTCAATTCATTTGAGAGGAATATGAAAATTGTCCCGGCAGTTGTTAACTTAAATGCCCGTCTGTTTTTAAATTAGTGTCGTGATTTGTCATTGATGTAGAGCTCGATGGACCACAGGCCCACACTGTGATCGTTGTCTGCATGGTGGATGACGAACGGTGGTGCCCAGACCGGACCATGTATGCGGATGACGTCCGTATTTCACCTGAGTGTTTACGAGCTTCCAGAAGCCGTGCCATAAAAACCCTTGGAGCGCGAGGTCTTGAACTGCACCGCATTCTCCCTAAGCGTGATTTACTGGCGACCAGATCTTAAGAATCTTGAGGCCAGGCCGAGCTTCTGCAGTATTGAAGGTCGATAAAGTAACGCAGTGCCGCTGCCATTATAAGCTACCTGAAATATTGCTCTACTGCCTCACCTCTACGCCCGCAAAACACTCATAAAACGAGCCTCACTACTAGAAACATGGCAGACTTCGATAAATAACATTGGCCTCACTACTAGGAACATGGCAGACTTCGATAAATAACATTAGCCTCACCACTCGAAACATAGCAGACTTCGATAAATAACATTGGCCACACTACTAGGAACATGGAAGACTTCGATAAATAACATTAGCCTCACCACTAGGAACATGGCAGACTTCGATAAATAACATTGGCCTCACTTCTAGGAACATGGCAGACTTTGATAAATAACATTGGCCTCACTACTAGGAACATGGCAGACTTCGATAAATAACATTAGCCTCACTACTAGGAACATGGCAGACTTCGCTAAATAACGTTAGCCTCACCACTAGGAACATGGCAGACTTCGATAAATAATATTAGCCTCACTACTAGGAACATGGCAGACTTCGATAAATAACATTAGCCTCACTACTAGGAACATGGCAGACGTCGATGAATAACATTGGCCTCAACACTAGGAACATGGCAGACCTCGCTAAATAACATTAGCCTCGCCACTAGGAACATTGCAGACCTCGCTAAATAACGTTGGCCTCACTACTCGCAACATGGCAGACCTCGCTAAATAACTTTGGCCTCACTACTCGCAACATGGCAGACCTCGCTAAATAACTTTGGCCTCACTACTCGCAACATGGCAGACCTGGCTAAATAACATTAGCCTCACTACTCGAAAATTCGTAGACTTCGCTTGATAAAATTAATTCATCAATTATTCTTCGGTTACTCTACGTTAAAAATTCATGTGCCGTTCATAATTCTAATCAATTTATAAAACGTCTTCAAACAAAACCATTCTCATGGTCCCGGAACATGCATGCCCTATACAGACTGCTAAGGTTAATTCTATCCACCGCCTGCTTTCCTATCTAAAATCGAACCAAATAACCGCGTTATAAAATCAAGTGCAATTCATATTTGGAATCATCCCTTCATAAACCCTTTGATTTCTCTCTACACGTACAAGCAATGCAGTAAAACTCTTTCTCCGTCTTTCTTCTCACTCAAATTAGATATCGAAAGTTTTACTTGTTTCTTTGTAGGTATTTTTTGTAATATTTGCTTATTCACCGCGGTATTCATTGAGCGAATAACGTAAAATCTTGTGCGGAGATCAAATGCTGAATGAAAGCTTCTGTTCTATGACACATTCGAACGAAAATAACTTGAATTGTGAACGACCAAAATAACTTTCGTGCGTATGATGTATTGGGAAGGCAACAAAGCCTGTTATAATGCACAATTATTTGACAGTATTTAATAGAATAAAAATGTCTTCAATAAGTCTATCCTTCAAAAAAGTTCCAATAGCAACCATCAGATCGAGTTATCACATAATTTGACGTTTTGTATTGAGTTTCGGTGCAGATTTTTTTCTTCAAGGTAAACATGGTCATATCCGTAAAGACAATTCGATTAAGGCCGATTAAAGTAAGTTGTAAATTTTATAATTGGATTGCTACACTACATTTAGAATATATCTTAACAAACTAATTTCCAAATGACCTACATCACATGCGCACCGCAGCTTTATTCAAATTATGTAATTAGTTCCGTTGCTTGAGGATTGAAACTAAATTCTAGAATTACCATTAGTCTTACCACCCCTTTTTTCAGGTGTGACTCGGTGCAAAACATTTTGAAGTTTATTATGCTGAACGGTAAATTTGGGAAGTTTTAGGCTAATAATAAGTCAGCTATTTGACTAACCTGTTTCAGTCTCCTACATTACGCGTAAGAAGATCATGCAAAAATTCAAAATTGTTTTGATAGCACTAATGAAGGAAAAGGCCAAGTTTGTGTCGCGTCTTCTTGAAAGTTCACCAAACCAATACTTTTTTAAAGTTCACTTGCGTAAATTGCATTATAAATAGCGTTTCTGTTCGGAATATGATAATTTATTTTCGTTGTAAAGTTAATTTCGCCATCATCATAGCATTATCAGAGCCCGTCTATAGTTATTTTAACGTTCATGATTGTAGACGTCCAATGGGTTCCTTTATAACTAATTGGGGCGACGATGCGTATTTCCTGTCCGTTAAGTATTATAACAATGAAGAAGATACTTAGGATATTCAGATACCTTGAGTTACTTAGGCGTATGTTATTTCATATCGTCTTATCCCATTTTATCATCTCTGCTTGCATAATTTAGGTGCCCTGAATAATTTATTTTAGGGTATAATAAATGAAAATCAGCTTGCTGCAAGCAGTGGGCAAAAGTAAAGCTGATCGTAAGGCAGAAGCAAGCAAGCAAATCCTTCGCTAATGCCACGAGTCCGTCTGATCTGATATATAGCAGCTCGGGATTTTTCTATTTACTGAGACGTAAAACAGAAGGATGCGGATTTCGTGCATTGCAGCCCAGGGAATGACTTATTTTATGAGTTTTCTTCTCTGGCCGGATGTGTGGGCTGAGTTTTTAGCTGCGGACTTGGGGCTCTGAAGTCTTGGGGACTGAAGCAGTCAAGGTACAAGTCTAATCTCGCAACTGTATCCTGCTCTCTGACTCCGGTTGCCTTAGATTCTTTGCATACAGTGTCCAAGTTACGGAAATAAGTCACGTTCAAAACGTTTTATTTCTCGAGTCAATAGACAGAACGAAGAAGCAAACGAATTTGGAAGCTGCAAGAATTCGTTCAAGAAACCTTAAGTTTGGGCAATTTAGAAAAATTAAAATCACGAAGAAGCAGCCAATTTAAACCCTACAAAACACAAAAAAACTGTTAATATTTGTGTTATTTATAAGCGAGTCATAAAATATACTATGTCCTTGTTCTCCTCGATTGAGTAGAAATTGTTCTACTCGATTGAGTAGAAATTGTTCTACTCGATTGATATGACTTTTAGGTTCTTAAACTATTTGCCAGGGTTCATGACTCCTCTCCCAATACATTTTATTGCTAATTTTTTTCATTTTCAATTGATAAACACATTATTCTTGCTATCGCACACTTCATTCACTCATCATTGAGAATTTAATCATCGAAGATTTATACTCGCTTTACCTCCTTTGTATTTGAATCGTACATTGAGTGAAAAATAGCAGAAAATATTGAATTTAATTTCATCCTTGAATAACTGAATCAGAAAATCTTCATAAATTGTTTCCTTCTACAAAAATTAAACAAAATTTAGGCCTATTCGTAAAGATACTACAACAATTTAACAAAATCTAGGCCTATTCGTAAAGATACAACATTATAATAAGATCTAGCCCTATTCGTAAAGATACTACAACAATTTCACAAAATCTAGGCCTATTCGTAAAGGTACTACAACATTATAATAAGATCTTGGCCTATTCGTAAAGATACTATCAAAATTTTCACAAAATCTAGGCCTATTCGTAAAGATATTCATTGACTGTGCAGGTAGCCGGCCTCGCATCAACGACCACTACAGATCCCATCAGCTGTCCTTCTGGTTGAAGCTCGTGCCCGAACTTCACCAGGCGGGAGCCGACGCTCCTGAGGAGCATCACCATCTCGTCAACCATAACGACTGGGACTCCTACCGGGGCCTGGTGCGATCAGTACCAGTCACCAGGTATGTCACTGGTGTATCATAACTGGAGCTGCTACCACCACCTGGTATGATCAGTACCAGTCACCAGGTATATCACTGGTGTATCATAACTGGAGCTACTACCACCACCTGGTACAATCAGTACCAGTCACCAGGTATGTCACTGGTGTATCATAACTGGAGCTACTACCACCACCTGGTACAATCAGTACCAGCCACCAGGTATGTCACTGGTGTATCATAACTGGAGCTACTACCACCACCTGGTATGATCAGTACCCGTCACCAGGTATGTCACTGGTGTATCATAACTGGAGCTACAACCACCACCTGGTATGATCTTTACCAGTCACCAGGTGCGTACGTCTGTCACTGGTGTATGATAACTGCGACTTCGGTCTTTGACGTCGCATGATGCGCACGCAAGTGAAGTGTATTCAATTATCTCGTGTGTTTCGCTTTACGAGTACACTGCTTCAGATGATAACCAAGTGTCATAAAGATGCAACTATTCCACGACTGTCAAGCGTTGGCTAATGCACGCGTCGATCTTGGCCTTGTGCTGTGATTAGTGAGCTGAAAGACAACATCACCTAATTTCTACCTCCTAACCTAACCAATATTAATTGTCGATATCTAAAAGGTGCAGAAATAATTTGTTTGGCACAATTTGAGTTCTGTTTGATTTAATCCGTAAGTGCTGAGGACGAATGTTACGTTGAGATTGGTCAGTAACAGGACATTGATTAATTGATTGGTCAGTAACAGGAAAAGGAAAGCCGCAGAGAAACTTTATTTTCGATCGGAAGTCACGACGTCGCAGGCCACCCCTATTATAAGCGACCGCTTTCTTGCTCCGCCAATTACTTTTAGTGCTCGTAAAAGATAAGCGCGAGGCCTGCGTTCAAATTAAATGGACCATAGCAATAGTAAACGCGGTGTTTTACACATCCACTTGGGCAAACAACTGAGCCTTTCTTGCATACCAAGTCCTTATCTAGCGATATTGTCGTGGGTGAGACCATGGGCTGGGTAAAAAGACCTCCCATATATATTTGACTCCACTACAGCTTATTGCATGTGCCAGGGTCGGGTCAATCCCAGGCGTTATTTTCTTGCCTTGCAACGTTGGATTGTATTGAGCTGGTCAACGCTGCTCGATACGCAAGCATTTTGCGCTGCGCTGAACCGTTGATAATTTTACAATAATTTTCCTATGTCACTTGATGAGCTGTTTTAAACTCTTACTTCCAGGGTAACTTGTTAAGGAATTGATAAACCCGACAGTTTGTACGTGTTAAGTTGAAGAATTAATCACAATTCTATACGGGAGTGATATATCATCACACGGTGGTAGAGGGCACACGGTGGTAGAGGGCACACGGTGGTAGAGGGCACACGGTGGTAGAGGGCTCGGTGGCTGAGGGCAACTCATACCCTCTTTATCGCGGCTCCGGCGTCCTCACTCAAGTCGCTGCAATTTCCCTCGAGGCTTCCCTCACTGACAGCCAAAAAAGATTTTTTTAAGCGGATAACTTTCTTGCCAGCGTCGTCTGTACAGACCATCGATCAGCTTCACAACACGCTTCTCTTAGCTGCTCATTTCTTAAAAGGCTTGTGTTTTGTTTTTAATTTCGTAATTTTAACTCCAGAAAAACAATAATGCAACTATTAAAATTTATTCAACCAAGGAAGTCATTTAGTTCTAATGGAATATAGAACGAGGAAAGTTACTTTCCACCAAAAAAGTAGCGCTGACGTTGGAGTAAAATCAGATAAATTTCCATGCATATTTGAATAACTAAATTGTTTTAATAAAATTTATTAGGGGAATTTAGGTAAGCGAGTACCAAGCTCTGTCCTGCACATTTATATTTATGTGATGGTTGAGGCTGCTTCTAGAATATACTGTTCCTACAACGGCTTTAATTAATTTATTTCAGGTTATGGAAAGCTTTAAAGTTTAAGCGAACGAGAATATTAAATGATTTATTAACATTCAAAGCATACATACTACATACATACGAAACCATAAACATGCAAAATTGTCAGTGCAGTAAATTAGAAGTAGTAACATTGAATCAATATCAGTTATATTAACACCACGAAAATAAATTAGGTTGGGATGAAATTATTTAGGTTCGCCCGCGCCTGAAATCGAATATTGTCTGGGATGTTGCCAGGTAATTTCCGTCATTAATTAAACAATGTAATCTAGAAATTTTATAAACTTCTTTTACATTTATACCTAAGAAACATGCCTATTTAAGGTCTACGAGTGCATAAGCGGGCAAAATTTTGCTGGAAACTCGAGAAAAAGGAATTTTATTATATATCTCGAATAATATTTGTTTGCAAATACTGTTCGTGCTACCACAAACTGTTTTCTTTTTTTTTTAATGCTTTGCATGGAATTATAAATTTATCACTACATTTGTATATAAAAAAGTTCGAGTGGTAGCACAGTGAGAGTTACTTTTTTCATCAATAAACATTTTGCAATAGATATTCTGAGATGGAATTTATGTTAACAGCCTGGATTTTTTATCATGTATACTTCGCAGAAATCGCAAAGCAGCAAATTTGTTTTAACGTGACTGAAAATGTTTGGAAATTTTATGCTAATTTTTTTGTGCTTGCTATCCAAACATGAGAGAATGCAGTATTTTACGTAGAATTAGTTGCAAGTATCTCACTCTACGCAGTATGTGCAGATCACTGGGAACATGAATATTGTATGCTCGGAAAATATTATACGTTGTGTTGTTTTGTATGTCTGATGAATCATGAATTATATTTTGGGGATGTTCCTTGTTTTATTTTATTCTATTTTGTTTGTGGAAAATTATATGTTATATTGTATTCATTCGCGTATTGTTAATGCCTGAAAGAACATTGCGTATTATGTGATAAGTTAATGTAAAATTTTTCTAATTCTAAGGTTTTTTGCAGGGTGATCCTGCCACCAGAGACGACGACGGTGTCAACCACAACGAAGCAATACAACGTGTCAGCGGTGCTGCAGTCCACGCCAGGGGCCGCCAGCGAGCTTTTCAACTCATCCTGGCGCGGTCCCGCTTCGTTGCACGACGGCTTCGCTGCCTACTCGACTGCCCTGTCGGTCACGGTCGCTATTGGCTGTTCATTACTCATCCTAAATATTCTTATATTTGCCGGGGTTTACTATCAGAGAGACAAGTCTAGGATCGAAGCGAAGAAAGTTGCCGAGAATGGCGGATTGCTGGCGCCGGCGCACAGCATAAGTGGTGATCTCGGGACTCCGGGTCCGCAAAACAGGCACGTTACGCACTCAAATAACCATTCGAGTAACAACGCTAAAAGCCCTCACCAGACGTCGCTGCAAACGCACTTGCCTCCTCCTGAGTTCGCAGACCAACCGTCCAAAATGAACTATGACAACTCGACTCATTTGGCCACATTACCGAGAGGTGTCGGCCGTCCTCTTGGTCCACATGGGGGATCTTTGACCCTATCGGTGGCTCGGGCACCCCCACCTCCGAGAGTACCCATCAATCAGGTGTCCGAAGCACAGCCTCTACTGCAGCAGCAACACCAACATCAGCCACAGCAACAGACAACTACCTTCTCATTGGGATCTCCAAACTCCCTCTGCAAAAGCCCCATCAAAGAAGAAGAGATGGGGGAACTCCGTGTATAGCGCTCTTCTCTTTGTTATTTATACAGTGTAAGGTAATTAGCTCAAAACTTGCAGGCTAGTGGATTGTTCTAAAAGGTGCTTTTTGTTCTATCTAATCAAAAATACCGTCTAAAATGCCTAGGTCGTTTGGTAAACGTTCAAATGATTCGTTTGAGTCCTAGTTTCGACTAACAAACAGTCGAATGTCAATGCAGGGTTTTTGCTTAGAAGCCCAATTACTCCTAATTGTACACACGCCGCCTATGTCTACGCAATGAATGCACAAGAAACGTAGTTTTGATTACAGATTACCTGCTTTTATCACTGGATACTTCTTCTACATCAAATACAAGAAGACTGACAGAAGATACAGGTCCAGACTTTATTTCTAATGACTGAATGATAGCTTTCCTCAATTGTTAGAGAAATCTTTAAATTTTACCAATAGAGACGAGTCATGATCGTCCGGACGCTAGAATCTCTTCTCTGGCGTCAAGGCATCAATCAACTTTTTACTAACTGCTCAAATTTTATTTCATTTATTTAAAAACATTAATCAATTTTTAGATCGTCGTTTTGTTGACTTGAAGGATAATTTTATATATAATTAATTTTGTATTATACTCTAACTCTGAGTGAAGTCGAACACGTACACCTCTCTTCAATGACTTTTCTCTCTCTCTCTCTCTTCATCAACTCTCTTCTCTTCATCACCTAGAACCAAAAGTCATTTTGGATGTCACTTTTAATATCGCTCTCAACTCGTGACGAACTCTCTGTCACTAACTTAGTATTTCCTGTCTAATTTCAGTTTTCACCTCCTGCATCTGCAATGGAAATAGGTTTTGCGTGGTTCAAAAGTGACATTGATTATTTTTCTCAGTTTAGGACTACGTACTCTAGATCTATTGCAATTTTTGTTTCTTATAATGTTCTACTGAGACTACTTCGAAACTATTCATATTACTATGCCCATGGCATCAAAAATTTTCTCATTCATTTTTTTCCTAATGTGTCCTGTGAAATTATTTGAAATTTTTTGTTGGCAAATTTTGGCAATGTTACTATAATGGTTTTAAAGAATTCTCGTATTCTCCATTGTATTGGGCGCAGTTTTTCGCATTGCTTTGCCATGAAGTTATTGAAGGGGAAAATTTCAAACACGATTTATCGCTCGTTCGCAACATTTATTTACAGATTCAAAAGAAGTTCCGTCTCGGACTCAAATTGAGTTCATTTTGTGAAGCAATTCGTAAGAATGAGCCGGATGGCCAAGCCAGTTTAAGTGTTTAAATATCCATGTTTGCAGTATTCTTCTTGACTTGAACCTCTCTGGACATGAATGGTTATGAACACGTACAGTTCATGATGTTCGACACTGAACCATCGCAGACTGTAATTTATGGTATCAGAACCTCGGTTCTTGTCAAGATACGAGTTAGACTTTCAGTGTCAATTCAACTGAAGTCATTAAAATAATTATTATTGTTACTGAATCTTGTTATATAGTTATTAACATTTTACAATTTATCTAAAGTAGCAAATGATGGATATTGCCCATGTGAATAATCCTGCATGACGAGTCCTTACAAATCTGAAACCAGGATTCTCGATTATCGCGAAGTTGAGTTCACCGAACTTTGTTCAGTAATTTTTTTGTGACTGCAAATTAACTATAAACCTAGCGTTGGCTAGGCGAAATGAATAACATTCTGTTGAAAAAATTGAATTAAATATGTAACAAAAGATGGACCACTGTAGCCAGAGTAACCAACTATTTGATCTTCATTTCAACTTGAACTCCAAACTGAAACAACCTTTAGATTTGTGAAATTTTTATCACCGTTCGGCTTCGTTTCAGCAATCGTTGTTCTAGCACCCGCACAAAGTTGTTCCTATAAGAATTGTTCCTTTGTAATTGTAATTTCTCATGAACTGTTTTTTTTTTTGCACTTTCTTTCCACTCATAATCTCCGCTTCACTTCAACATTTGTGACCACTATTGTCTCCTGAAGCGAAGGCTTGATTTCCTAGGAGCCGGTGTGTGACAAACTTGGTACACTAAAATGACTTCTAATTTATTCTGATTTCAACGAACGAGTAAACACGTTTGATCCCCGGAGAGTTGTAATAGCATGATTTTTTACTGGCGATAAAGATATTTTCGCCAGTAAACTGAACATCCTGCCAATTATTCTTTTATTTAGCTATGTCTCTATAATAATCTTTTAAATGTCGCAGCAACTTGTATTGTGATGAAAGATGATGGCTTGGCATAACCGGTACTACCATCACAAACGAATTCATTATGTCTCAGTGAGTCTTTTAATATTATAAGTTCAAATATACTAACAATAGAACAACCGATATTTCTTCTAAAATTCGTAAATACCGGGCAATAAATTAAAAGTTATTTATTGCGGTGAATGACTGTTAAGTTCTTGTAATAATATACTTTAGCAGTTGTTTCTCATTAATTCAGTTGTCTTTCAAGTAGAGCAGCGGTCTTCTTGTCTTCTTTAAGCAATCAAAATAGGCAATGGAGATAAGGATTTTCACTAAATACATTTTCTATCATTTTCACTATTATATCTTTTTTGTGAAATTCAATGTGAGGACTCTCATCAACGAACTGCCATAGCCCCACAAAGTTAATTGTAACTAAATTAAGAATTTCATCAACTTCTTTTGGATTCATTTTTCTTGGGGTATCCGTTGACTGTGCTTATTTTTCAACCAATTCAGAATAATTTTCAAAATTTTAAGAGAAAAATATTTTTTCTGTTACCAGAGAGACAAATTTTGTGTATGGTAATTTCTTTCATCTATTACAATACATAAAATGCCTTGCTCATGTTGTACATAACTTTCAAAGTAAGTCGATGTCATCGACGATTTTCAGATCCCGTGAGAACAGTCAATTCCTTCTTAAATTGAAGAGGAACCCTAACAAAATTTAGAGTCGCCCTAGCTTCTGGTTATCCAAATCAGAAGCTGACGCGTCTGTAAATTTTAACTAGGAAACTGCGATACTTTTCTGAGGAACGTGTGATACTCTTCAGTTATGTATATTGTGTACAAATAATTGAACTACATTTCTCTTTTAGGTGTAATGTATTGGTCGTTAATAAGTCTATGTAAATTTTATCTCTTTAGTATACATGCAAACAATCTTTATGTACATAGCAATCAACTGTAGTAATTACACCGCTGCTGGTGGAAATATTTCAAGCTATACGTATGCTTAAGATGGTTCAACATTCAATGTATATCTTAAAGTTTATGAACAGCTACCGGTTTATCTCGTGTAAATTGTGCAAAGCGCTACCCATGTGAAGAATTACTCAGCTGCATTTAATTGTAGTGCTTTTCCCCGTATGTCATTCACCAATTCTCTCGGAATTTTAGACTATTTGGAGTTTCTTTCTACATCTTTTGTTTTTATCTTCTGTGCAGTGTGAAGTTTTATAATTTTTTATTTTGGCTGAGGTCATGCACATTATTTGTGATTTTTCGGACCTAATTGCATTTTTAAGCTATTGGACTTAATGTGAATTTGTTATATCCTTTGACTCCAATCGATATATCATTAATGAAAGATTTAGTGATACGTGCAGTGACTGACGTGTCTGCACCCTGACGTGCAGTGACTGACGTGAGTCTGCTCCCTGACGTGCAGTGACTGACGTGTCTGCACCCTGACGTGCAGTGACTGACGTGAGTCTGCTCCCTGACGTGCAGTGACTGACGTGTGTCTGCACCCTGACGTGCAGTGACTGACGTGTTAGTCGTCGTCTCAAGCTGTCAGAATTTTATTTTTTTTATTTGGTCCTAACCTTAAAGTGATATGTTTTTAACAAAAATGTAATTGTATTTTGAGCTCTGTGTACAAAGTACTTTGATTGACAATATTTAGAATGTTGCTAAATGTATATACAGATCAGATTAGTTGTAAAAAATTAAAATGAATTTGAATATTGTTTGAAACTGAAGCTGTTTAAAATTATGATGTGTACAAATGTCATCAGTGGCAATAAAATGGTTTTTAATACATCATCATTCTATTTCATTATTGCCACTTGAATACTCAGTTATTTTATTTTTAAAAATTTGTGCGCGTTTCACACGAGGCCCTGGGGTCTATTATGTTATTTACAGAAAATTTCTAAAAACACAGGCTCAATAATTATTGAGCCTTTTAGCGGTAAAATTTTTGAAACAAAAGATATTTAAACAAAAGCTAATGTAAGGAAAAAACTCTCAAGGCAATCTTACGAATACTTCAATGCTGGGTCTGTGAAGTATACGAGTATGCTTGTCGTTCTGTACAGTGCAGAAGACCTTCGGGTCGGTGATGGCTTGCAACGCTACACTCCTAACGAACTCCGTACGAACTCTTAACGTACTCTTAACGAACTCTTAACGAACTCCTAACGAACTCTTAACGTACTCTTAACGAACTCTTAACGAACTCCTAACGAACTCTTAACGAACTCCTTCCGCCTCAGCCTCGCATTTCCGGCGAGCCTCTGTCCGATATAAGACCTCAATATGAACTGACGTTAGATTTTTCTCGTACATTGATTGCAAATTGATATTTTTTTTCGAGAATCGGGTCAAAATAAGCATAAACGAAAACTATGCGTTAGGGGCTGGAGATGGCAATGAAACAACGTTAAGTTTCCCAAATTTATCTTTACTTTATTATTCCAGTTAACTTCAATTTTAATAATGCATAGGCATGCAAAGCCTGGCAGGGCTGCGAGCCTGCGAGAACGGTTATTGAGAAGCTCCCGACCTGAGAAGCTCCCGACCAACACGCGAGGTGCGAGATCTGCAGTCGTTACGTAAATTGGATACAAAGTATTGGATACATTACAGTTTTGTTCATATCTCAAGTTAAATTGCAAGATTTTACCTGAAATTCAGTCAGTGGATGATACATCATCATTAATGGTACTGGAAACATTATATAGAAAGGATATTGAAGAGTAAACATTGTTTAGATTCTATTAAACAAAATAGAAAAATTAACCCACGAAAAAAACATTGCTAAAAAATTAATCACTTCCGGAAGTGGCTTTTTATTTTACTCTCTAGAAGCTTAGAAAATCAGAGTGCGAGGTCTCTTGCGACTTGCGGTTCGTGCGTTTCATCATAGAAATATTATCATCTTTATCAGTTTTATTTTCCAATCCATAAAAATATTAATATTCTCCAGTCTGCATTCACATTTTATGGCAGCCGAAAAACAACAAATCATTCTTCAGTAATGAGTTAACTGTCTTCATGACATCCAAATGAAGCTTTTGGGTCGAATTTTCATAACTATGAGAAAAGAAGAAAGCACATTTTCGAACAATATACTTGTCGTAATTCAGCGACATAACGTTGTTGACAGTGGAAATAATCTTTCAGCTTTCATGTTTCGTAAATATTCAGAGAGATTTGCTATACGCCTTCTCAACTCCCTACACCTTCCGGCTGTCGAACGCGTCTTGGTAACGCAATAGAAAATTGTCTATCCGGCCGGCCGAAGAGGTCGTTCAAATATTTGGGAAATTTGTAAATTTAGAATTAGTTAAAATTGGTACCAATAGAAGCAGAATTTTAATACGAATACTTTTCATAAAAGGGGTTAAACCCAAAAGGAAAAACCTCGAAATCTAAGCCGTTTTCGAGATATTGGCGTTTAAAGTTTTCAGTCAGTTTAATCGAGAATATCAGCCACTGCCGTCTTGGGTGCCGATTCTGAAAAAAATTTCTTACGTTCCGAATTTGAACTGCATCAAACGCAGCGGTTCGCTATTTACTTCAGACTCATAAATAGTACGAATCCATGGGCTTCGAATTACCAGCATTTAGCAAATAAGTGCATAACGCAAAATTATACTCTAGGCGAAAAATATCCATAATTCCATAGCTGGACTTGAACTTTAATAAGAATCCAATTGAACGCAAAACCTACGATAAATTTTAGCGTTCTGCAATTCGTAAAAGCCATTTACTAATCTGTCCGCTCATTTTTTTATTGAATTTTATTTGCCCAAATGAAAACTCTTAATGACTATTTTCAATTCTTATCTTCTCCTCGACAGCAAGCGCTGAAATTGGAAATCAAGTGCATTCTACTAGGGTTTGCAGTAATTGTTAAATTCTGTGCAAATTTCAAAATTTATAGAAGTACCGCCATCATAAATTTTTGCCGGCCACCGCAAGTATAAGAACTTTATTATAGAATTTGGCCGAAAAATAACCATGTGGCAGCCCGACCCGCTCAACTGTCCAGATTTTCAAAAATATTCATTAATATCAATTATGGACCAAGCCTTATGTAGGTCCAGGTCAATTATCACCTATTAGTAATATGGAGGGCACAGCCTCTATCAATTGAAAATATGTAGCATGCCAGCATGCAAAAAAATAAATTCGTATTAAATTTATATGGTTATCTAATAAAATTAAATATCTATTGTAGCATAATTATTTAAATTGTGTATGGACAGCAACCTTATTCTAGTTTGAGGTCTGAGATTATTATTATTATTATTATTCCACGAAGAGATTGTCGTGGCGTCTCGTTCAGATCGAACTTCGAGGGCACGTTACAAGCGGCTAAAAAACACAAGATGATAAAAACAGATTACATCTATGCTAAAACAGAGGACATATGCCAAGACTGATGACGTCTGCACTAGAACAAATAACACCTATGCTAAACCAGTAATATCCATGATAAATTAGATAACGGCTAGGCCTAAGATTCAAAGGCTCTACGGAAAAGTTCTGTTTTTAGGCGTCGACGAAACAACGTCAGCGAAGAAGCAAGAGATAATATGACTAACTTCTATGGCCTCAATGAAAGTGGTGCGTTAGCCTTGGTGATGGTGCTGTAATGAACGCAGCTCACCGCTATGCATGTAAGCATTTATGGTGTTCACCCGTGCATATTACGTCAGCGCTGTCCCAAGCCGGCTTTCCCTTTCTGCCTCGCTCGAGTAAGTGTATCATGCGACAATGGTTGTAGCTCTGTATGTATGCAATATGTATATTTCATGAGCATCCCGGTTCTGGAAAGTATTTCAAAAATTTAAATCAGTTATATAATCCACAGAAGTATTTTTCAGGCAATCGCTCTAGGTTAAGTCCTGAGTTTTCGGTTAAAGAGTGTAGTAAAATCGGGGTAAATGGTCGTTAACTCATGATTCGGGAGTAATTGGTTAATTTTGTTGGGTAAGATTCGTGATCGGTACCCTGTTAAGCTGTTTATGCAGATTCGGGGGTAATTTTTCGTAATAATATTGAAGGATCTGGGGTAATTGGTTAATTTTGTTGGGTAAGATTTGGGGTAAATGGTTATGGTGACCTATGATTTAAGCTGTTTATGGAAAGTGTTACCGTAGGCTCGGTCTCTATACTACTAATAAAGACACTTGCAGCCGATAATAATAATATTTAGCGAAAGTTTGCTATTGCTCCGTGATAAGTTACAGATAGAAACATATTAACGGCAAGAAAATGGAACAACATATTTCAATGCGTCTCCCACCAACCAAATCAGCACGATACAAGTATACCTTTCACATACTCTTTACGTTACCCTCAAATAAGATCCTGAGAGTCGCACGACGCACGTCCTCTCATAAGCACATTGCCCCCCACTCTCGAGAAATTAAGGTGCATTTCGTAACATTCCGCGGTTATCACCGACTCTTGAACTGCATATACAAATTAACTGAACAAACACCAGACTCCGGAAAACAAATCTTAAAAAATTGACTCGGCAACGCACAAATGCCGCGTTATCTTCACCAGCAACTGCGGTGAGCACCAACTTGATGAGGGCCTCTTCGGAGGGCGCGGGTTTCTTGTTCTTACGCAGGTTCTTCCGCGCAACGACGCTTGCTATAGACTTTTTTGCTATGAAAGATAACGCATGTAGGTCTCACTGTCTATCATCTTCACTCACTTTCGTCAATCTTCTTGATATACGTTTGTCACCTGCAGAGCTGCCGCAAGCTAACTGAAGACTACCAGGACCCCTAATCCACAACTGTAGCTCATTGCCAAGACAATATATAAATTAATTCCACGGAACTCTGCGTGCTCATTTATTTAAACTTCATTGCCCTCTATAACTCTCCAAGTCATCAGTCAGTAGCATGCCAGTTCAGTGGCAATGGATTAAAACATAAATAAGCATACATAAAATATTTTATTAAACTCTCTTTCTGTTAAAATCGAACTTCCACAAAGTAAATATAGTTTATTCTGCCTATATATTCGGGTTAAAATCTCTTTAGAAGCGTTAAAATGCGAGACGTTCACTGTCGGCATTGTACAGCATTAAAGCACCCAAATCGGGCGAAGACACAAATTCATACAGCGATGCAACAGCAGAGGACACCAGCTGTAGTCAGCACGGCAAAAAAGGCAGCAAACGTAGGCTGTCAAAAAATCGCTATTTTCAGCTACTATCTATTCTGCCTCTCAGCTGACTGCTCAGGGTCATCGTCAGCTAATAACTCTTCACCACACTAAACGACTGCTGAGCTTGGTTAGCTACATCACGTCGGGAGCGCAGCCGTGCACCACCAATTTTGTGCACCAATAAGCCCTGCATCGAACGCCTTGGATCTTTCCGGACACCCATTAATCAGCCGTGAACCACTCGGCTTTGTCTGCCTCCGGCCTTGCATAAGACCTGCCGTGCACCACCAGACCGCGGAACGAATATGACTTCCGGGCATCGTTAAATTATGTAATTTTTAGTTCACCGCATTTGAGGTTAGGCTTCAGATAGCACAGTTCTGTTCCAAAATGTATCGTCCTTTGACGAGTGGCCGGTCGACCGAGGGCTGGTTCGGCGCACGGTCTAGGCATGATTGTCCAGAAGTGTTGAAGGCTACGTTCCGGAAGGCAGGAATCATGATGGTCCATTACATCCAGGGCAGTGGTGGTCTTCGGCAGGCGACCCCATCACGTCCAGATACCTACAGGTCCAACTGTCTTGTGTATGACACAACTACTTGACGCATGCGGTGTCTTACATTTTTGCGAACGATAAGAATGATCAAGCAAATAATTCATATAAAAATCTTACACCTGAATATTTTAAATCAAATAAATCCTGCAATCTCATCAGCCAACCCAGAGAGATTAATTCGTAACTCACCGAAGTTGTGCCACACTCGTCGCTACTGGCGGGACCGAAAATGCGCCAAAGGTAGGTGCTGCTCTGCGATGGCACTTCGGCTCTCTAGTGAGTCTAGTTAGCAACGGCTGCGCGTTGCTGGTCTGTGCTCACGTGCTGCATCATGCTCGTACTGTGTCACCTTATCTTCTCCGAACCAAGATTTTATTTGAATAAAATGAACCGTCTTTTCATGCTCTGCGTCAGTAGTCGCATCCTATACGTGATGGTGTTGGGAGCGACCCATGTGACAACGAAATGACCGAAAAATCTAGGTGAAAACTGTTTTTGAGCAGGTAACTGAGGGAGTTTCCTGGCTACTCTTTGACCCACGACGAATGGAGTGAATGATTTATTTGGAGGTCGCCAATATGTTTCAGTGAATGGAATCGGTAATTTGGCAGCTGCTTCAGCGAAGAATTCAGCTGGTGCACGTCCTGTCTGCGAGTGAACGGTGTGATTGTAAACTATCAAAATACGAGTCAGGTTTTGGTTCATAGAGCTTGGTTTTCTACCCCGGCTACTGCTAGCAAGCTTTTCAGAGTGGAATTCAGTCTCTCAACTTTTCCGTTACCGCTTGGCGCGAAGGGAACTGTCTTGAAATGCTTCACACCATTTTTCTTGAGCATTTGAACAAACGGACGTCCTCTAAACTCAGGGCAGTTTTCAGACGTTACGGTTTCAGGAAGTTTTAAGAGGGTGCTGAAGATTCGCTCTTCCAAGGCTCTAGCAACGGTGGCTGACCTCTTTTTCTTAATGGTACAGCGCTGGCAAACTTGGTGTATGTAACAATTCCAACCAAAAGATACTCCACGTTGCCTTTGCCAGCGAATTCCTCGTAAGAAGTCTTCGGATGTCGTCGATACAGCTGCGCTTCGCCCTTGGGTGCCAACGCTGACACACACCGTACTGCTTAATCATGGTTGAACTGGTATAAGGTTGACCCATGAGAAGCTCATTTTTGCGGATGTGGTTCGTTGTTCTCTTGTGTCGTCACGGGCATTAAACAATCAACGAAATGCGATCAAAAAGTCAACCAATCCGTCATGGGAATACGGTTAAGTTTACGTTTCTCGATCTCAGTGAAGTAACAAGAAAGCTGAACTGAAAGACGGAAATCCTCGTGGGTTAACCTCATATAGTTCAACCATGCCACCACGTACGTCTCAATAGCTGCGAGACGTGGATGAAAGTAATAGAGAGAGTTGGTCTCATTTGTCTTGTCTCGTTCGACGTGTCCAGCGGCTCTGAGAAAATCAGCGGTCAGTTGCGGCAAGTTTTCACTGTTCCTTTTACCACGTTTTACTGTTCTCTTTCAGGATTCATGGTAGTGTGTCCATAATAGCTGCCGAGCCAGTTGGGCAAAATATTCCAGATTGAAACAGCAATGTTTCAATCTGGATAGGCCATGGGCCTATTTCAATTCAATAAGCCATGGGCCTATTTCTTCAACGCCGACACTTCTATTCTATTCTAATGTTGGCTGCTGGACGTTTATATTCCTTATGGCCAAATCTGTTTCAACGCATCTCAAGTCACAGCTACACTCACTGAAATTATATTTACAATATATGAATTTACATAAAAAACTTGGGTATTTCATTTTAAATGAATTGAAACTTGAATGAATTGGAGTCAAGTTTCAGCCGTGGTCGAGAGCGGACGCTCGTGTTTTTGCGGTCCCAGATTTTTAACTTTTAACTTTTACTGTGCAGTTTTCGGAACTCTTTTTGCATTTTTTACGATCCATGTCAGTGAATGACTGAATTTTCAGTGAAGTCAGTAAAAGAGAGTGCGAATAGAAAAAAAGCCTATAGTAAAAGTGTTTCCATCTGAAATAACGCGATTTTAGATACATCGAGGTTCGCCAAGCAAGCGAGGGCAACGTGCACTGCCCTGCCAGCGTAGAGCAATAGAGCCCTTGTTTTATGCCCAAGCTTAATTCCTCTACTCTGAACACCTTTACAGCCTCTGACTGAAAGCCGCTTATTCTCAAGTTTGTAACCGAGTTTTTACAGCACTTTGGAAACTTCACAATTTTTACTCAAATTGATTCAGTTTTAACTTGTGTTTTTTAGCTCTTGCATTTCATGATGGCAGGTCAGAGAAGAAAAAAATTAAATGAGAAGGCCTCCAGTCCTGTTAAACCGAATTCGAAGATTAAATTGCAAAATGAGCGAGGAGAAATTTGTAAATTTTGCAAACTGGGATCGCTTAACGTAAATGACGCTACAGTGGCCTGTGATCGTTGCGGAGATATCATCTGCAACAATGGTGCAAAGTTGAGCAAGACAGACTGCTCGGTTATTCGCAAAAACAAGTCAGTACACTGGTACTGCCAGGACTGCCAACATCCTGCACTTAGCGCTGTAAAAAGCGAAAAAATGGTGGAAGAGAAGTGCTCTTCTATGTTTTCTGTTTTTAAAGCCGAAATTGAAGAAACCAACATGCAAGAGTTGAGAAAGAGAGCCGAAATGGAGGAGAACCACAAGAAAGAATTGAGCTTGTTGCGTAGCGAATTACACTCGTTACGAAACGAGCTTGTGGAAATGAAAGCTCATCTGCACAAAACAGACAATAGCGATAAAACAGAAGGCAAAGGCCGCAAAGAGGTCATCTCTGATCTCGCCAACGAGAGCACTCGTGAACTGCCGGATAGAGAGAGAAGACTTAACCTTGTTTAGTTCAACGTTCCCGAAAGCAATGCTTCAGATGCTGAATTTATTACTGATTGCTGTGCCAAGGCACTTAACGTCGTTGTGAATATAAAGGCATGCAAGAGGCTGCGATCGAAAGACGCTACCACCTGTAGACCGCTGCTTGTAACTGTGCAGGATACAACCCAGGTCGGACATGTGCTTAAGGCTGCGAGAAAACTAAGTGAATTCACGGAGTTTAATTCAGTCTTTGTTAAGGATGCTACCCCTTTAGAGAGAGAAACTTTTCGCAAGAAATGGCAGGAGAGACTCAGGCGGAAAAGCATGGAGACTCGGGTCAACCACTTTCACGATGTCAAGACTACACCGACCGCACACGGTCAGTCAGCGGAGCTAGAAGACAAGTAAGAAGTCATGTCCATAGAACCAGGCTTGTAAATAATGTAAGAAATAAACGCATGAATCAAAGTGAAAGTGCACAAAAAGCTTTAAAATGTTTTTACACGAACTCGGATTCCGTTTTGAACAAAAGAAGTGAACTATTAACTGTGATTGAAAACGAGCGCATAGACATTATTTGCATTACAGAAACACTCCCTAAAAATCACGGAAGGGAAAATTGTAACTGTTGAATTTCAGTTGCCAGGTTTTGATTGTTTTCATAACTTAAATGAAGAGCAGTGCAGTAGAGGTGTAGCTTTGTGGGTTAGAACCTCTTATGGGGCCCAGCAAGTCAAGTTATCTGCAGAACATCAATCAGCTAGAGAATCAGTGTGGTGCGAACTTACTTTAAAAGGCAAAGATAGCCTCCTCATAGGCGTCGTGTATAGATCACCAAACAGTTCTTCTGATAACAATAAAGTACTAAACAGTCTTTTACCGAGCATGACTTTCCTTAGGTCACACTCGTTGATCGTTGGTGATTTTAATCATCCAGAGCTAGACTGGATAGATGGATCCTCTCCAAGGGAAGAGAATCACCCAGCATCCTTGTTCATGGAGTCAGTAAGAGACTCCTTCCTAGTCCAGCACGTTACCAAACCAACCCATTATAGAAGTAAACAGACTCCCAATATCCTAGACCTGGTGTTTACCAGTGATGAATCAATGTTGGATAAGCTTCGTCACGAGGCTCCGTTGGGCAAAAGCCATCACCAATCATTGTTTTTCAGACTTAAGTGCTGTACAGAAAATACGCCTCGGAAGCGTGAGCGTTTGAATTTTGCGAAAGGCGACTATGATAAACTCCGTGAAGCAGTGAATGCAGAGAATATTTCGAACTGTATTAAGGACATGAATGTGGCTGAGTCATGGTCACTTCTCACATGAATGTGGCTGAGTCATGGTCACTTCTCAAGGACACGGTTATGTCCGCAGTTGATGCGTGTGTACCTAAAATTAAGCTTGGTGGAGCCAAAAAACTCGGTGGATGAACCGTAGTTTTAGCTAAGCTGAAAACAAAGAGGGAAGCATACCAGCAATATTTGAGACTCGTAGCGATGCTGACTATAACCTATACGCAAGAGCTCGAAATCAAGCTAAAGAAAGCTGTCGCACCGCAGTAAAAACCCTCGAAAAAAGTATTGCTAAAAATTCAAAAAAGAACCCGAAAGACTTCTTTTTGTACGCTAGCTCGAAGTGCAAAATGAAGGACGGTATTTCTGATTTGAAAGTAGATCAGCGAAAGATATCCTCTGATGAGGGCAAAGCTAACGTACTTAATCATTTTTTCAGTAGCGTATTCACTGAAGAGGACTAGAACAGTATTCCAGCTATTGAGGAGCGCAGCTGGTTGACTGGGCTGATAAGTGGCAGCTGCGTTTTAACGCTGATAAATGTAAAGTTATCCACCTTGGCAAGAATAATGAACAGCAAGATTACAGTATGAGAAGACACGGTTGCAACGACAGACGGAAAAGGATTTAGGATTTAATATCAACAATGAGTTGAAATTTTCTAAGCATATTGAAGGTCAAGTTAATAAAGCCAATAAACGACTTGGACTGATCAGACGCTCTGTGCTGGAATAAATCCCAGCATTAGCTTAACTATTAGTTTAGTTTTAATATTTTTTAGTATCCGCGTACACGGACAGGCCCGGTCCGGGTTATTTAGAAATTTTGGCGGTTAGAGAAGCGTCGATCCCTGTTCCTGGGATAAACAACGGTGTGACGCGTAGACGAAGCAACATTTGTGAGTTATTTATCGTGACTAATTATGTTCATGTTGTAGAAGTGTACTGTTAGCAACTGTCTGCAATGCGACTCTGTGAAATCCAAACATTAGTTTGAGATATTTTCCCTGGCCAGTAGCTTAACTTGTCCTATGCAGTATTACTTAGCATATGCGACCTGTATTTTATAAGAATTCTGGTGTTCAAGACTCTCGGATAACATGAATACTTTCTGATGAGTTCTGTCACTTTCTGACAACTGTGCATCATTTTCATGTAATTTTGCCTGATTTATCAGTGATATGAGCAAGGATGTTCAAGCATTGTTTACTGTTTCATGATGTTCTATCTCATGATGCACAACCTGAAAATTATGTTCTGTTTCATTGAATCCGGTTAAACTCATAAATGATCTTGATACTGTCAATTATTAGCAGTTTTGCCCCATTTATAACGTGTGTTTGTTTTTTCTGAGACAGATTTTCTAGCTTACTGCAATATCAAAGTGATTGTGCGAATTAATCCAATTTTCCATGTTTATTGAATCAATTACTATTTTAAATTCACTTGTGTAACGTAACCAGTCAGTTTGTACTGAATAACCCTGAGCGGAATTTTTCCTTGATAAAATTTTCCTGTTGCCGCCTAGATGAGAATTCTGAACATTCCTAAGTATCTTGAATTACTCAATCGTTACCGACTAACGTTCTTAGAATTACCTTTTAATACTAATTTTAAGTTCTGCCTTCTTATGGTACTCTGTTTTGCAGAGCACGTCATGTGAAGATGGACTGACAAGAAGTACAGTAAGATTCCAAAAAATCTGTATTTCATTCTCCGCAAACCATCTGCGTCCTCTGGCAATGAGGACGCGTCACGCTCTTTCGAGTTCCTAGATGCAGAAACGATGAAGCAGTTGTTTGTTGCTGTCGTGCGCCCGGACCCAGAGTTTGGAAACGTCGTGTGGTCACCGAAATTTGAAAAGGACAACCATTTAGTAGCGAGTGTTCAAAGACGCGCAACAAGGAGGGTTCCGGGCTTGAAAGGCAAGTCCTATGAGGGAAGATTAAAGATTATGAAGCTTCCATGCCTCAGTTATCGACGTCTGCGTGGGGACCTCATTGATGTATACAAGTATACCCATGGCTTATACAAGGTCCCAGAAGGATTACTAGAATTTTAAACAAGAACCAACACCAGGGGCCACGGCTATAAACTAAAAAAACAGCGTTGGAACACATCCATGCGACAACATTTCTTCTCGCTTCGAGTCACCGACATGTGGAACAGCCTCCCTGATAGCATCGTTGACGCTCCGAGTATGAACATCTTCAAAAACAGACTAGACGAAGCTATGCAGGAGCATAGCATATGTTCAGTCTTGAAATGCCTAGCAAATTACGGACCAGGCAATAAGTCCAGCAGCTATCTCAATCAATCGTCAGCTATGGAACGATCGGATTCCAAAGGCCCGATCCCTTGTGAATCAAGTCACGAAAAGTTCAAAAATCGGCAACAGGCCATGGGCCTATTTCTTCAACGCCGAGACTTCTATTATAAGTAACAAGCAGGTATCACGGGTACGGAATGTTGACCGCCACATAGTATCTTGGCCGCCACATAGAAGTCAATGTTGATGTCGCGCACTAGCACGGGTCTCCAGAAAATGGAGGCGGTCTAGACGCCTAACGATGGCTTTCCGTAAAGGTCCAAAAAAAAAACTTGATGCTTCAGTGAACATTTACTTCAACCACCGTAAATCCTGCACGATCAGAAAGCAATTAGAGATAGTGCAGATAGAAATGAAATCAAATATTAAATTTATTATTATTGTGCTTTCAATTGTACTAATTTGTGACTTTCTATGTAAATTATAGATTCTACGAACTGACGATGGAGCTGGACTCTGAAACGTTTTCCATAAAGATATGAACATTTGTGGTTTAATCCTTGCTTTTAAATTTTTGGTTAACTTGCGATTTAAGCAAATAAGTGACATCAATTATTTGGTATCTGTGTATATATTTTGCTCATAGACAACTTTATTCTTTGAATTGCATCCTGATTGAAAACTTTCTATGTTAACACTGAGCATAGACTGCTCACCTCCACACTTATCTTCAAATGATTTGCCACATAGGTATATTTTATTGAATTTTTTCAAAATAAAAATCATCACAACAATCATTATTTGAATCTAATCTTATGTAATTTTCTATTTGCTTAAAAACACTGTTCTCCAGGAAACCTTATTCTTCTGAATCTGTTCATATAAATTTATATTTTATATACATTTAAATTATTTGTTGTAAGTGCAAGTATTAGATAATGGGTAAGGCCCGACGTCAGCGCAAGAAATACCATGCTCCTGCTGTTGGTGGGAATATTGCAACTGGGAATAAAAATGAATCCGATCCTACAGAAACTATGTCTACCTCTGAAGGCAACTTAGGCATCTCCAGGAATAGAATCAGGTAATGAATCATTTTCTATAAAAATTTTTTATTCAATTTTGCTAGATCCAAGAATAATGTAAAACTTAGATCATCCTCATTTATTTCAGTCCCTTCAGCACTTGTCAAGAAATCACACTTTCATGTATATCTGTTCAAGTTGTCAATAGGTTTGTCCATTTTGTTTATTATGTCCTCCTTTTGGCTATATTGCATTTTTAGCAATGCTCAATTGAGTTCTTTCTTACTTATGATCATAATTCATGCAATATTCATCACTTTTCACATTTGTATTATTGTTTAGATGTATATTCATATCTTTGCATGTGTGGGGTTTTATCTGTCCCTTTAAATTCTAAATTTCATGTTTTATGGAGACAGATCTGACTTGTTTGCTGGTCTGAACATGAATCTGCAAGCAAGTCTTGAGACTCGGTCCCTGGCACACTCAGACATGGACACAATGAGCCTGGCCTCCATGCGCAGCACAAAGAGTACCTGCAGGGATGGCAAAAAATTGGACAGGAGGAAACAAAGACGACAGGATCTTTTGGAAAGTAAGTAACATTCATTACCAGTATTGCTTCTTATTATGAGTTGAATTTGTGCCATGAGAATTATACAGTTTTAAAGTGTGGTACCTGCTTTAGAGAAGGGCTTATTTATGATTAATGATTGTGCAATTGATTTTTAGTTATAGATTTGTAGCAGATTATATCAGTTGGGCAGTATTTTTTTATAGGTATATTTCATGAGAACAACATAGCAGTGCCATTTTTGGTTATTTTCCTTTGAGAGCTAATCAAAATTATTCTGTCATTTAAAGCTATATGAAAATTGCTATTCTTGCATTTGAAGATAAAATTTTGATTAAATGATATTGTTTAATACAACAATAATTTTGCCACAATTGTTATTCTGAAATTTGTTCCTATAAACTTTTAAGAACAAGTAGTAGTGGAATATAAGCTCAAATAATTAGAAATAATTGCAGCAGTGACTTTGCATAACCATAACAATGATTTTTAGTGGGTACCATCTTGAAATTCCTGGTCTGCAACACGTCCTAAAGAATACTATTTAAACATGTTGTTTGTTATGATTTTTATAATTTGTTTTATATATGGGTATGATTACGAGGACTACTTTTGTTTGATTAAAGAATTGCGTCCTACTTCTACTTTATTTCTAACTTCTCTTTTAGTCTTGATGTAGTGATTGCAACCGAAACTATGTTTATCGATATAAGGGTTTGCGTCGATAGTTTGTATAGTTATTTCAAGACAAAATAGCAGAGCAGATTTACGATGATCCGGCGTGGCCTGCGACCAGTAAGGCTTACGGCGTGTGTTAAGAAGTGATAGTATGGGGTAAATTCTGTGTAGTAGGACCTGTTGACAATTGACTATTTGATTCAGCAGGCTGTGGAGTGAGATAGGTGTTGCTTAAAGTTGATGTGGGGAGATGACTCAGTTACCTACAGCTTCTTGGGTGTGAGCTGAGTTTAGTTATTGCATTATAGGATAGGCGTTGGCGCCAGGGCATATTTACGAGCTAAATTTGTGTTGTAGGGCTGCGCTCCCTCTTGGAGCATTGATACTAACTACTTATGATCCAAATTTCGAGCAGATCCGTTCAGTATTGTATGAGTTATGTGTGGTTCGGTTGCGCGTGTAGTTAAGTTTTCCCATGGGTTTTGCTCTTTGAGTCCGCAGGAGAGTTCGCAAGCGGGTCCGGAAAAGTGTCGATTCGGTAAGCTTAATGTTCAACAATTCGGCCACAATATGCCCGTTCTTCACAGCATTCAAAGATTACGCAACTATAATCTCTTCACTGCAGGTAGAATAAAAATTAATGGCTCTAAATAACATTCACCCCCATCAGGGATACTTACCTATGATCTGACAGTCTAACTTTAATCAGCTTCAGCTCGTGGGTCAACACCATTTTATCGTCGACAGTTCTCGCCGTATTTTAATGACCCGTCTACACGAAGTCTTCAGTTGCACCGAATGAGCAGATTCATCTGGCGGCGAATAAAGTAGCATAAGGTGCTTGTACACGGGGATAGTGCAGACGGCTAGTAAATCTGGCTAGTGTCGATCGCTTGGTGACTATCCGGCAAGTAAGCCTGTACACACAAGGAGAGTAGAAGGTGCCGCTATCTTCCCGTTCGCGCCCGCCAGTGCGTCGTTAGAAGCCATCGAGTGAGGTACGCGAAGATGGATAGTGGGATCACCTTCTACAACTCTAGACTGTACGTCGTTATTATACTCTTTATTCTAACCTTTAAAAATGCAACGTCGGGAACAACTAAACCCTGACTAATAAGGTCTTCTTTCAGTTTCAAAATACTCGTTTCTCTCTTCTTTTTTTGTTGGAGTAACCGGGACGCCTGTCGGAGACCACCACTGCCGTGCTTCGAATGGACTATCATGATACCTTCCCTGAAGAACGTAGCCTACAATAAATCTTGACTGTAACGTTATCAGCCGCATGCCACCAGACTGATCACATCCACTGAATTAGATCAATCAGCCCACAGGAAAATAAGCCTGGCGTCGTATGGCCCAGCGTCGTCTGCCAACACGCGAAAAAATTTTACACCGCCCGGACGGAGCGCGCCGGAGCCGTCCGTATCTGTCCCGTGTGTCGAACCAGCCCACGGTCGAACGGCCACGCGACGTACGACGATAAATTTTGGAACAGAACTATGCTATCTGGAACCTAACCCCAGATGCTGTGAGCTAAAAGTTACGTAATTTAGCGAAGCTGCGGAAGTCACTCGCTGGCGAACGATAGAGTTTGGAACAGAACTATGCTTTCTGAAACCTAACCCCGGATGTTGAGCTAAAAGTGACGGTCTGGTGGTGCACGGCAGGATGCATGCAGTTCCACTGGCGACCTGGGCTGGTTGGTCGCAGTCTGTTGTTCGCAAGTTACAGTTCGAGCTAAAGTCGGCGGGTCGCCTGACCACCACTGCCCTGGATGGAATGGACCATCCTGATTCCTGCCTTCCGGAACGCAGCCTTCAACACTTCAAGCTGTCCGTATCTAAGCCGTGGGTCGAACCAGCCCTCGGTTGAACGGCCACTTGTAGAAGGACGATAAATTTTGGAACAGAACTATGCTATCTGAAACCTCACCTCAGATGCGGTGAACGTAAAATTACGTATAATTTAACGATGCCCAGAAGTCAGATTCGATCCGCGGCCTGGTGGTGCACGGCAAGTTCTATGCGAGGCCGGAGGAAGACAAAGCCGAGTGGTTCACGGCTAATTGGTGGATGTCCGGAGAGATCCAAAGCGCTCGATTCAGGGCTTATTGGTGCACAAAATTGGTGGTGCACGGCTGCGCTCCCAAAGTCGGGGTATGAAGTGATGATTCGATGCAACGTTCAGTGGTGCATAACCATTACTCTCTGGGCCATTCGCTTCAGAATGTGGTGGCGTAAAGCTCCTAATATTTAAAGCAAGATGATGTCACGGGCTGGTTACCGACGGATGGCTTTATCCGCGGCTGATTGGTGGTCATCCGGAAAAATGCGAGGCGTTCTTTTCAAGGCTGATTGGTGTACAAATTTGATGATGCCCGGCTGCGTACCCCCATGCATAAATCCATACTTACATAACCTTCAGTCTTGTTCTGCATAATAGAGATGGGCGAGGAATCTACTCCGGCTCCCGACGTTCCACCGCAATCATTCGTTTCCCTTCCTTTCGGCTTACTTGAACTCTTACACGTGAATAACTTGTGATCCTCACTAACGCACCAAATACACGCTCCGAATTCCTTCTTAAAATCACGACACTGCGCCAGTGCGCCTACACGTGTTCCGGTTTGCCACTAAACTGGCAATGCACACAGGTCTAGACGAAATACGCATTGACTGACGTGATTAATTACGGCCAAAAGTAGGCTAGAACAGTTATAAGTAAAATGCCCCATCTGGTTGCATTTGAAGTAACGCCTTGCCCGAACCACCGAACACTTGCACTTCATTACTGTCACTGACTCGCAGTCTCACTAGGTACTAGGTAGTCACTACTCACTTTTCAGCTCGATGAATTAGGTACTTCCTAAGTTCCTAATCTTATCTACGGGTAATTAACAAAAATGAACGGTGCACAAATTCACAATTAGGCCACAGGATTCGGATTTTAAGTGTATAAAAAATGTATCACTTTTGAGCTATGATATTTCATTCATAGACATGAGTAAGAAAATTCCAATCCTGAATTTACAGATTTTTCATCTCTTTGTTTGATTTTAATCATTTTATGGCTGTCATTTTTTGTAGATGTAGATTAAATAGGCCTATGTACCTAGCTAATCCAGTAAATCCACCAAGCACCATGGCATCTACCGTAGTTCTAGTCAGCGTTGCCAGATGGTATATTTCTATACCAGATTTCACAAATCTGGTATTTTCAGAAGGTGTCTGGTATGAACATTTTAGATCTGGTATATTTGCCTAAATCTGGTATTTTTCTGGTATTTTCTGACTTACTGCAAATTTACTGCATTAAGTTCCACCTCTGAAGTTTATTCCTCCAACGTAGGCGTTGATTATATAGATTAACATCAGAGTGGCGCGACTAGAGGTTTCCCGCCATTTTTTGGAACCGCAAGTTTACCGCTTGATAAAATAACCCCAATTTAATTGTTAGCATTTAACAAAAGTGCTTAGTGTAATATGAGCATGAGAGTGATGATCCTCGGTTGATTACTGATCAGTGATGAACTGATGATATGGCCTAGGACGAGTGAGGTTGTCGAACCGTTTCTCTGCAACGCAAGCTCCATCATTTTTGTTTGGTGGTTTTGAATTCTAGAGTGCCACTTGAATTCGGGGGTGCCATTCAATATTTCACTAATCTTGACAATTATCATCCATTCAGGGAATTGGCTGCCTACTTTGACCTGTCTCCAAAGCATTCGTGGTGCACGTGTTCTCACAAGTCACTTATGTGAAAAACAAGCAACAAAATAAAATTTCAACAAAGGTACTGGAGTTCCTTATTCGGACCAAAAGCTATCTGCTCAACCGCAACAAGTGATAACACTCGAAATGTTAGATTAATGCAATATGCAAGCATGTACGAAAATAAGCAAAATGAAGATGACCTGTTTCCATGGCTTGCTCATGTTGAGCGAAGAGGAAAAAGTGCCACAATGACACTGATAAAAATGGAAAAAGTGTCAATGTAATCAAACACAGGAAAAGAAAAGTGTCAAAATGTTCTAGAGGGGAAAAAATATAACGTGTTCAATTTGGATAATTATCGTCAAGCCAGACAACTGCACAGTACATAAGTTAATTTTTTTCTAACCAACGTTTCTGACGAATAGTTTCATTAAATTTTGAGGTATTAGTCTGTTTTTGAACGATAGAATTTCTGGTATATTTCCGGTATTTTGAGCTAGGCAATCTGGTATTCTCGCCAAGAAAAAACCTTGCAACTCTGGTTCTAGTGTAGTAAGTGTAGCTACTAAGCTACCTACCAACTACCTAGTAACCTAGCTAGTAGCTACCAAGTGAGAAGTGACTACCAGGTACCAGCTACTGTACTATTAAGTTAAATTGGTTACAACTTACAATGGGCAATTCAATTGCCAATTTGCCATAATAAACAGTTTAAACTACCTATAAACTTCAATGTATTGTCAATAACTTAGCCTATTAGTATTAGTTTTAGTTACCACTCACTGCTTGGAAGTTGGAACTTGGAAAGTTGGAATGGCTGTTACCTGTTAGGGCAGTCTGGGCAGAGGCTGTCCAATCAGAAATTCAGAATTAGAATTTTTCTACTTATAGCCTAAATGATATTATGATTTCTTGCAGCTCTAAATGGACAAATTTTTCATACATTTGGCGATTTGGGATCTTGGTGCCCAATTGTGCCCTTTTGTCAACAATTAGAATCATAGAATGGAGGAAATTCATTGCCTGCAACTGCAAGTTGAAAAAAAATTGCTAATTCATTACCTCCAATTTCAAAGGCTGCAAATTGTCCATAAAAAGTACAGATTACAGAATATGTATGATTATCAGAACTTCAGAACTATTTATAATTTTTAGGGTTCAAATTTCACATAATAATTACAAAGATGCTCTGTGTTTTTAAAATGCTTGAAACTGAAAGTTTAGTTTCAGTTTTGTTTCTAAAATTATTTCTTCTGAAGCTAGACACGTCACTTTTCACATTTCAATGATTCCACTCGCAGTAGTTTTTTTTGTAAAATTTTTGCATTTAAAATATGCATTCTCTAATGGCTAACCAAACCAATGAACTGTGCTGGAGTCTGGACTACTATCTCAGTCTGAAATTCATAAGGCACAGAAGTTGCACTTGCAGCTTGCCCATGACCTATTAGTCTTCACGGCTCACACAGCCACCCTTGACAATTTGACATCAGCTTAGAAGTTGGAGGCTGGTGTGAAAGAATCATAAAGAATGTACAGTCACTAATTTGAATATGTGAATGTGCGTAACCATGTCATCCATGTGTGGAGTGGATATGATTGCACTGTTACATAAGCCATAAGGTGCTTATATGTTATACCAGAATGCAGTTAGTTGCGTGGATTAGTTGAGTTGCCGCAACTAATGTGATGATTGATGTCTTCAGAGGTGGCAAGTTGTTGCATTGCACCCAGGTCCCAGAGCACCTCAAATTGTTTTCAGCCAGTCCAGTCTGCCCAGTGCCCACTGCCCAGTAGTACCTTTGCCTTCCTAGTGTGCAGACTGTGCACAGCTCTGTTGCGCTCTCCGCTGCTGTAGTACGCACAAGGAACAACTGTGCAATCCTTGCTCGCTTTCACCATGCACCCATCTTACACAACATTGCACTCTGGACTAGCATTTACAGACTGTACCAAAAAACACTCTCCTTGTGTATAGGCTCTCAGCTGGCAAAACTGTAGTGGACTCTACTAATCTACATGACTATTCACCCTGTGCATAAGCACCTTATAGCCACAGCAGGCATCACTAAATGATATATTTCATGTTCACACAATGCAAGAAGATATTTGCATGTGATTGGCTGATTACACATGTGTTTAAACTATTTTTGGTGCATGATGCATTTTTAACTCCACATATTTCATCTCAGTGATCTCACACATCTAAACACAATCAAGAGACATAAAATAACTATATTAATTTCTGGGCACTCAGCACCGTGTACATTTTACTAACCATGAGAGTGATGAGACACATGAGTCAGTTGTGGCTACAGTGATTCAATGGCCAATGCTACTAGCCGGGGTGCAGAGGGTGGATGCAGTCTCGCCAATATATGGGTTTTTAAGCCCAAAGCGTCGCCAACCATTTTCAAGATGTGTCGCTGGGTAGTTTTTAATAAAAAGGCATTTACGCTGAGTAATGAAAAACTATTTACAAGCCACTAACTTATTTACAAGGTTGCATGCACATGTTATCCCAAATAACTAAATTTACCCTAATAACAGTCCAATTGTACAGCAAGTGTCAACTGAACATGTGATAATGCAGTCTGATCGCTCTAATGTGACCACAACTACACAATTGTAAACTTGTTTACATTTTTTTTGGCTGGAACTCATTGCAAGTGATTTCTGGACAAGCTTCACTTTATCCTGATCCATCCATTGTAGTACCGGAAACCTTACTTTTTTCTAAATAGTTGGCCGAAGACTGATAAATATATTGAATGCAAGAATTTCAATCTAAATGTGTCGGCAAGATCTTCTGAAGGCGTAAATTTTGCTGCAGAAGCGTCGCCAAGGATCTTGCAATATTCATCCACTCTCTGCACAGTGGGCTACTAGAGTAGTTGAATTGCACTGACCCTAGGCAAATTATAATAACCATAAGTAGGCTGCTGATGGTCTATGACAAACCATAAAGTTAGATGAAAGCTAATTGTGAGCCCAAAGCACCAGTGCCAGTGGATAATATTAAAATAGAATGTAACATTTGGTATCTGAAAATTTAAAAGCAAGGATTAAACCACAAATGTTCATATCTTTATGGAAAACGTTTCGGAGTCCAGCTCCATCGTCAGTTCGTAGAATCTATAATTTACATAGAAAGTCACAAATTAGTACAATTGAAAGCACAAAAAACACAATTAAAAACCAGCTCCTGTTAAATACTCCCCCGGTCCCGCGCATGCGTGCTAGGCGGCTCGAGCTCCACCCCTTAATTCAAACTCCGCATCTCAACCCCCAAATCCCCCTATTCTTATCTTATTTATTCCTATTCCTAATCAGGTATAGGATTAATTCAATTGCCATTTTATTGTAGCAACAGATAAATTTCATTATATGTGTGATGCATTTGGTTCTAGAATAGGTTTCTGTCATCCAACATGAGAACCCAGACCCACAGTCACAATACTGTTCAATAAACTTATGATTCCTGTAAACTTTCTTGGTTTGATTTATCAAAATTGTAATTTGATAACTATATCTAATGAACTTCCCCAATTGACAGTACTAAATTTCCGGAGAAGTCTTGATGAAGAATCATTAGCCCAGAAAAAACGGCAAAAAACGGCTGTTGTGGGCGACATGAGGCCGCTCACCGATGCCCTGCCCTCCCTTGAACGACTGCAGAGCCTGGCCCAGGTATTATTGTTAACATTTGCTAATAATGTTTTTCGAAAACGTTAGTGTGTTGTGTGATAAATCTAGAAACATGATTGATGATATTAAAACTGCATTAATGAGTAGCAGGAAGAAGTATGAATGACCTGTACCTGTATGGTCATTGAATTGCCTTGTATGGGATGTTACATTTTGCATTCCTTCATGGTATATAAATCATTTTTACAACACTTTTCTTTAACTTCACTTCTTGTTTGTCTGTCTGTCTGCTACAAATCTTGTAATCAAAATTTAACACACTTCTACTTATCCTATCGATCTGAAATTTTGCATACTTGTTTAAAGTTGGAGACAATGCATGAATCAAATGTCAAAATAAACGATGTTAAAAAGTAAAATTTTTTTTTTCAATATTAAAAAATTGAAAAAATAATTTTGTCAGCTACAAATCTTATAACTGATATTTGACACACTTTTACGTGTCTAATCTGAAATTTTGCACATTTGTGTGAAATCAGAGGCAATGCATGAATCAATTAACAGAATAAATAATTTTGAAAAAAATTTATACCTATATAAAATAGTATATATATTAAAAAAATTAAAAAGTAAATTTTTTTAATTTTCGAAAATTAGATGAGAAATTCATTGTACATCTGTAAGATTGGAGATAATGGATTCTTTGGAAGTGTTGTCTTTAAAAAGTAATTTTTAAACGTATATTATCTGTATTTAGTTAAAGTAATTACTATTTAGTGGATTATTTTAATAAAGTTACTTGGTGCATTAGAAATTAAAAGTAGCCATGCAATGCGATGCGATGGTAAACATAAAGGAAAATATATAAAATGTAATAATATATATACCTATTATACGTATATTTCATCTGAAGCGGTTAGGTTAAGCTTTTGTAGGGACAGCAGATGATTAAGTAAGAATGTTCTTTTTGCCTTACATTTTGCTCCTATTTTATTTTTTAATGTTCACAGATTCAGAAAGCTAAGGAAGAACATCAGAAGAATTCCAAGAAACAGAGTAATCTTCAGAAACAATTGTGAGTTCAAATATTCTTTGTTGCTAACTCTGAAAATAGTATTTTGGTAACATAGAAATTTCGGATCTAAACTTCCTCAAAGCATGTCGGATGAAAATTTATTTTGGCAGTTCAGTTAATGCTGGAAGTAATTGCTCTAATTCAGTCAAAGCTGTAAATTTGTTTCGGCGGCAGGCACTAGGCAAGTCAAAGCCGTAGATTTATTTTAGCGGCACTTGAGTCAATGACGTTAATTCATATCGGCAGTAGTTGCGTCATTGCCATAAATTCATTTCAGCAGTAGTCGAGCCATTGCCGTAAATTCATCCCGGCAATAGTTGAGTCAGCGCCGTAAATTTAAAGCGACAGTAGTTGTCATTGCTGTAAATTTATATCGGCAGTAGTTTAGTCAACGCGCAGGTTTCGTGTGTTGAAAGTTAAATTAATGTCACTATTACATACAGAGTCGACGACGTGGCAACGTTCGTGTCCATCGCACAATACAAGGATTACCAGAAGGATATGTTCAACCTGGTCGGCGTCTCCGTACAAGAGCGGCTGCGGCGTGCCCAAGCCGGCGAGGATGATGACGATCCTAAATGATTTGCGTCGTGATCGCAGTCGTTTATGATTACGGTTATTAATTTGGCTCTTACGATGGCGGCGGTCATGAATGACGACGGCCTTCAATAATAACGGTCGTTACTTAATAGTAGCAACTGTGAACGATTACGGTCATCAATGATTACGGTGCTGAATATACTAGCGATCATTGATAATGACGGTCGTAAATCATGATGTTTCAACTCATTACTGCAGTCGTTAAAAACAAAACTTGCTGAATATTATTTAATACTATTACTATTAGGTGTATCATACATAATAAAGAGGTTATGAACAGTGCTTCTAATACAGAACCCCATAAGAGTTATGGATAACATTACTGGCTGGAGATTTTTTGTGGTTGTTTTTTTTTTTTTGGTATAAATACGCGTTTAACCTGTTGTAAACCTATTCTCGGGCCTGTTTGTGATCGCCACCATTTTTGTATGACGCCACCCAGTTCTCTGTAAAGTGTATGAGCGTAAAGTTTTTTTCATTTCGATCCTGATACTTCAAGAGACCAGGCGCGGAAGTTGTCTCACATTTCTGTAAATATTATTGCTAAACACCGGAATGCTGAAATGTTGACCACCTGATCATGATCGTTGACGTAGGCACAAGACATTAGACCTTTTTAGGGTGTAGATTGTACTGTGTGTCATCCTTGACTTAATCGTAATAATCGCGTTATCGCTACAATGACACTGCGCTTATGTTCGGTCGCAAGCCTGCTCAATGCCAATAATTGCATGGTAATTGTTATCTAAGTACAAAACACAACACTTCACGAAAAGCGAGTCAAGAAGATTATCATCGAAACTAAGTCAAGAAGATTGGCAGAGACACCTACATGCGTTATCGTTCATCGTAAAAAAAAATCTACACACAAAACATGTACCGGCGCTCACCTCAGTTGCTGGTGAAGGTAACGCGTCATTTTTGCATTGCCAAGTCACTTTTTTAAGGGTTGTTTTGCGAAGTTTGGTGTTGTTTAGTTCATTTGTATATACAATTCAGCAGTCGGTGATAACAGTGGAATGTTACGAAATAAACCTTGATTTCTTTCGAGTGGAGGGCAATGTTCTTATGAGAGGACGTATGACTCAGTATCTGATTTGAGGGTAACTTACGGAGCTGTTTGATTTGTGATGCTGCTAGAATAATGTTATGTTGTCGCGCCGCTGTGGTTTAATGTAATTTCATGATACAAATTTATTCTCTCTCAACGGTTAATAATTATTTATTTTCTTTGTTTGGAGTAGTTCTCAGCCCAGTATTTCATACCATTGTTAATTTTGCATCTAAGCATGACAAAGTTTCTGCTGAAGTGTGATGAGCTCGATTATTCTAAAAATAGTCAATTCAGCCGGCGAAAAGCACAGCTCCACTCAAGGCTCACTCTCTGATTAGATTATTTGTTTATCTGTTTGTTTCTTGGTGGGCAGTGTCAAAGAGCGACCAATGAGCGGCGAGGCCTGGCAGTATGTGTGTGTGTGGCAGTATAGTGTGGAGTTTGGTAGCATAACTTCTTGTGGACTCTGCGTGAATATAGGGTAACTTGTAGTGGAATGCTCTGTGGGGTTAGAGTTACTTCATGTGTACTGCCGTGAGCCGTTATGGAAGGTTAATTCTTGTGGAACGTCGTGTCAAGTTATGGCAACTTGTATCTACCACTTTAGGAAGGTTTACTTGTAATGGACTGCTACGTGCGTATATATATGGTTACTTCTAATGGACTGCTACGTGCCTATAGATGGGGTTACTTGTAAGTTGTATTGGACTGCTACGTGCGTATAGGTAGGGTTACTTGAAGTGGACTGCTACGTGCGTATAGATAGGGTTACTTGTAATGGACTGCTACGTGCGTATAGGTAGGGTTACTTGTAGTGGACTGTTGTGTGGGGTTAGGTAGGGTTACTTGTAGTGGACTGCTGTGTGGGGTTAGTTAGGGTTACTTGTATTGGACTGCTACGTGCGTATAGGTAGGGTTACTTGTAGTGGACTGCTGTATAGGGTTAGGTAGGGTTACTTGTAAAGTTGTAGTGGACTGCTACGTGCGTATAAGTAGGGTTACTTGTAGTGGACTGCTACGTGCATATAGGTAGGGTTACTGGTAGTGGACTGCTATATGGGGTTAGGTAGGGTTACTTGTAGTGGACTGCTACGTGCGTATAGGTAGGGTTACTTGTAGTGGACTGCTACGTGCGTATAGGTAGGGTTACTTGTAGTGGACTGCTGTGTGGGATTAGGAAGGGTTGCTTGCAGTGGACTGCTGTGTGGGGTTAGGCAGTGTTACATATAGTTGACTGCTGTGTGAGGTTAGGTTTGGTTACTTGTAGTGGACTGCTGTGTAAAGTTGTTAAGTGTTAATTGAAGTGGACTGCTGTGTCGAACTTAGGAGGGATTGTTGTCATGGGCTGCGTTTAATAGTTCCTTCTCGTGAATAGCGTTGTGGGGTCAAATTTTTTTTCACTGCAGAATTTCAGGACTCGTTGTTATCCTTCCATAGGCGTTGAAGATTTATGTAAGGTTCCTCATCTGTAGAGTGTTTTAGGGTTATCCATGGTTTTTTCCCTGCATATCGTTATCGCTAACTCAAGGCTCAGATTAAGCTCAGTGTTATCTCTATACGCAATCTATATAATTTTTTACTTATCAGGTATAGAAGGTCACCAACCGCTAACGTGCCAAGATGTTCAGGAAGACGCTCTTCCCTTCAGCACGGTACTTACGTACCGTTTCCTCACCTTCTGCCAAGCTCTTGTCAACCACCACCCGCAACCTCTGCTGTAATGCCGAGGCACCGTAAGTACCTCATTATCATTCCTAAATATTAAAAGTCAAGTATAGCGGTAGGCATTTTCAAATTTAGTTTACACGACAATAAAGTTTCAATGCATTTAAATATGCAAGTCGCACTGAAATCATGGTGGAATCGAGACTAAAACGTATTTATGTGTCTAGGTATTGACATCAATCCGCAGTCCAGTCACTGATGACCCTTCAGGCATATAAAGTCACGAGAAGGTCACCATATTCACGGTGGTTACGATCCATATCAACCTTTCATTATTTTTTTCAATGCCCACCAGGCAGCGATTGCCGACGTCTCAAGCGGACACCCTGATGGACATTGGTACGCGGCCTTTGTTCAACTCCGATCACGACCTCCTACGACAGGCGGCGCGCCGATTCTTCACCGAGGAAGTTAAGCCACATATGGCGCAGTGAGTGGCTATTATATATCTAGTATGGCGCTGTCAATTAGATCTTTCCAAAGTAAGGTTGTCAGCGAGCAAATATTTGTGCCACTCTGATGTGTATTGCACGATTCACCGTAGGTTAGGTACCGTACCAATGATTATATTGAATGCCGTCAAGATAATTTGTAGTCGGTTATCTTGCTGCCAAGCGTCGCGAGTGTCAGTAGTTCGTTGCTAACAAGCCAGCTGTTAGACAAGCTGAAACAATATGCAATTACTTACTACTCACCCATAAATGTTTGGCAGAGCACCCTACCATGTCCACCAAGCAGACCACTTCCAATGTTCAACGTAAGAGCCCAAATCTGCGCTAATGACCACAAGAATCCCAGAGTTTATAGCCCCAGAGTTCACGACCCATTGTTTACGTCCCAGTATTTCACGACTCGAGGTGTACGTCCCCGTTGTTCCAAGAATTTATGTCCCCGTTGCTCCCAGAGTTTATGTCCCCGTTGTTCCCAGAGTTTACGTCCCCGTTGTTTCCAGAGTTTACGTCCCCGTTGTTCCCTGAGTTTATGTCCCCGTTGTTCCCAGAGTTTACGTCCCCGTTGTTCCCAGAGTTTACGTCCCCGTCGTTCCCAGAGTTTACGTCCGTGTTGTTCTCCCGCAGGTGGGAGGTGGACGGGCAGGTGTCGCGGGAGGTGTGGAGGAGGGCGGGAGAGTTGGGCTTCTTGGGGATGAACTTTCCCGTCGAGATAGGAGGCAATGGAGGAGACTTCCTCGACGCTTCAATTTTCATTGAGGAACAGTTCAGTCACCATCCTCCCCGCTTTTTGTTATTTTTATTGCACTGCAATTTAATTTTTAAAAGTAGTTAAATACATTTAAGGAGCAATGGGCTTTTCCATTAACTACTTTTTAAAGCCAAAGTAGGTTTTTGACTAGTTAAGTTTCAAATTCAATGACATTTCTCGATGAATCAGTTTCTCTTTCAGTCAAATTCGCTATGACTTTTGAATAATGAAATTCTTCGATTAGTTAATTAAGTTTGATCAAGAATTGACTGAATGGGAAATTTTGCAATTTATCAAGTTCAACGATTGATGAAATTGACCTGCTGATAACTGGCAGGTTCATTGCCCACCTATCATGTCATTGAAATATTGACTGATACGCATGTATTGACCATACAGTTACTGTCCTCGTTACTTGAAGTGGACTGCATAGACTCACTCGCCAGTTATTGCGTACAATTTATTTCTTGTGTCACTCATTATGTTCACTTAAATATCATGTCATAGTGATGTCGGCGCTGAAGAGTAGGCCTGATCTGGCCTGTCGTCGATTCTTGTACTTTTTGTGACTTGTCCACAGGAGATCTAAAAACAGGTCCTTCGACCGGATCTTCTTCAACGAAAAGTACAAGAATCGGCAACAGGCCATGGGCCTATTTCTTCAGTGCTGACACTTCTATTCTATTGTAATTCTAATTCTGTTCTATTCTATTCTATTCTCCAAACTGACGATAGTTTGAACTATTTACTAGACTTCCACCTGGTTCGATATGGTCCTAGGCATTTCAAGTCTGAACATGTATTTCTTCATAGCTTTATCTAGTCTGTTCTTGGACGCGTTTATACTCGGAGCGTCAACGTTGTAATCGAGGACTTACTTCACTTATTACGTTTTCGTCTCTTATCACGTTCTCTCCACTTGTTATTTCCTGGCCACTTACGACGCACTCTTCACGCACAGGGGATATGCACAGTCTTCAGGCCCTGGATTTTTGCTGCACAGCCATATCGTCATGCCGTACATAACGCGGTACGGAACCCCGGAGCAGATCTCCCGGTACCTACCGGACATGGTGGCCGGTAACAAGATCTCAGCCTTAGCCATGACCGAGCCTGGCGCCGGCAGGTCAGTTACCGTCCAATGCCAGTTGGTAACTTGCATTGGGGTGCCGGTAGGTCTATTACCGTACAATAATAGCTGGTTGGTTACCGTCTGATCTCGGTCGGTCAGTTATCGTCTGGTAAAGAACTAGAGGTCTGTTACCGCTCTGTACCGGCTAGTCAGTAACCGTCAAATGTCAGAAGGTCAGTTACTGACAGAAGTCGTCATGTCAGTTGACATTTTAATGTTGATGTTAGTAACATAATGAGAAGTTTCTCTTTATATGTAGGCACCCCATTTGCTCATTGGCCTGCAGTGAAAAATATCGATATAGTAGTGGTAGTAGTTGCCTGCTACTTAAAGTGTGGTGGTGTATCTAGCTTCGCAAACATAATTCCTGTCCGACCCACTAGTTCCTATCTACCTTTCAATCGATCATACATTCTGTGAATGATAATGATAACATAACTTAATGATCAACTAATTTTAATTTCTCTGTTAACGTACCCTGAGATTGCTGAATTCCCGTGCTCTGCTTTTCAGTGACTTACAAGGGATCAAAACACGGGCCGTTCGTGATGGCGATGACTGGATACTGAACGGGTCAAAGACGTACATCACCAACGGGTCACTTTGTGACGTCGTGCTCGTCGCCGCAGTGACAGACCCGGACGCCAAGTCTCGCGCCCATGGTCTGTCTTTATTCCTCGTTGATGCTGGCACTAAAGGATTCAATAAAGGCAAGAAGCTGCAAAAGCTTGGGCTCAAAGCACAAGACACATCCGAGCTATTCTTCGAGGACGTGAGGCTTCCGAAGGAGGCGCTTCTGGGGACTGAACTCAACAAGGGCTTCCCCCAGCTCATGCAAGAGCTGTCGCAAGAACGACTTTGTGTGGGCATCATATGCATGGCATGGTGCGAGGCGATGTTCGAAGACACGCGTAATTTCATCAGAGATCGCAAAGCGTTCGGCAAGAGTCTGACGAAGATGCAAGTGATCCAACACAAGATGGCTGAACTTAAGACGAGCATTTGCGTGGCGCGTGCCTTCACTGATCAATGCATAGATCTGCACACGCAGAAAAGACTCGATCAATACACTGCTGCTATGCAGAAATACTGGTGAGTGGTGCAGATTTTTTGTGACCCTTTGTTGTGGCCGAAACTTGTTTGCGATTTCCCTGAATATGGTTCCTCCTTGTGGTGACTGTTGGAGGAGTAATCAGGGATGGAGGTTTATTAAAATCTGATTAGGATTGTACTCAGAGATACATTGTTGATTTGTCTCTAATATAGTGTTGCCACACTGTAAACCTAAATCCTAGTAGATGGATACTACACTTTTTGACGAGGTTTCAGTACCTCTTTGTATCGGTGCCCAAATTGTCGTTTCCTCACTAATGTTGTTCCCCAATAGTTATTATTATTCCTTCTTGTTGCAGTTAGGTTCTTGCCGTCCCTGTTGTTATAGTCCTCTCCTGTTGAGTTCTGCATTTACTGCGGGTTGCTATCATAACACATCTATCATAAAATATAGATACATCAACTTTTCCATTGAATTTCATCACTTAAAAGAGCCATGCTGCATCATTCAACTACTTTCACCATAGTAAAAACTTCACCAAAACTCTCGTGTCTCCTTACAGGGTGTCAGACCTGGCGAACAAGGTGGCTTACGACTGCCTGCAGCTGCACGGAGGGTCGGGGTATATGTTGGAGTACCCCATCTCAAGAAGCTACGTCGACATGAGGGTACAGACCATCTTTGCGGGCACCAACGAGATCATGAAGGAAATCATAGCCAGGTCCATCGTGGCTTAGGAGTACTGCTATTGTTCTTTCAATTTATTCTGATGCCATCTAAATATGCGTATGAATTCTATACGGGTAAAAATTTTCTTCAAATACTGTATCTCTTTAATTTCATAACGCTCTCAATGAGTTTCAATTTGTGGCTGAATTTCAGCAACATGATGGTCTTTAATTCATATTGTTATATTCTGATGTTTTTCGTTTTTACATCTAATTCCAAGATGAATATTAGATGTAGTTAATCGTTAGTTTAGGTTTGTGAATTTGTGGTCCATATACATACATGAATGCACTATAAACCTTGATAAGTTTGTAATTTAAGCTGTCACTAATTATAAATAACCATTATAGTGAAATTTAAATGTCTAATTATACGGAAAACTTTTAAATTCACAGAGTAAGAAATATTATTGAAAATTTACACGTAATAAATTTATTTGGTTTATTGTCTTCTTTAACACGCAGCCCACAGAAGGGGAAATAGATGAAATTCTTAGAAGATATTTTGATGCCAATTCAAGCCTTGCAGCTCCCAAGTGGTCTAGCACTCCAAGATTGCCGGAGCGAGTTGTGGGTTCATGCCTCAGCAAGCTGTGAAGATTCTAAGATGCCACTTGTTTATGGCGCTATGCGTCGATGGTGTCAGCCTTTATCATGGCAATGGATGTGGTGTCATAAACACATTTCAACCTAAAATTTTCTTAAAATAAAATATTTATTTTAGTCTTTGATGAAAATATGATTTTTTGCATCTCGTCCAAACCCGCATGTGATACTTAGGAGGCAGCAAACAAGCGCTAACTTAAAAGACTTTCCGCATAGCCTGGAAGTAAATTCTGATGATGCATCATATTGTGGGTTTCTTCTAGAATGCAGCAATTTGAAATCATTGAATGTAAGTTTTGAATTTACTTTGACAATAATTAGGTACAGATAAATTAAATATTTTAGTTAACATACGAAAATATTTCTTACAATGCATAGTTGGAAATGTTTAGCCCATCTTAATTTACTGAGCAAATCAGCGATAGTAACGAATAAAAGATCATCAAAAAACGATCAAGTGACTGAACAATGATTTACAGTTCAAACAACTTACATTCTGGATTGTATTTAAATGTTCTTTTAATACTTCTCAAACCATATTACAGATTGTAAAGGACTTTCTTGTTGGCTAGTCCTTTGGGAACGTTTGCTGAACTATTCTAAGACGCGGCCCATCATGGCAGGGTAAAAACGAGTATTCCATGATGTACGGTTTCTAGAAAGAAAAGGACAAATATACATAAGATAAATATACAAGAAAAAGGATACGCTAATAACATGAAATATTAATATATGAACCAATATAAGACAATAATTAAACAGGATAATCAATAATACACGAAAACAAACGATAAATCGAACGAACCGAATAGCTTGGTAAACTGCGTGGAGTAGGCTAATGCTATTGCTACAAGTTTCAGAAAAAGAAAAAATGGCGGCTGCACAGATTAACTATTATAATTAAAAAATAATTTATTATAAAGAAGAAGTGTTGCTTTATATCCGTCATTCGCTGTGACCTCCGGGCTGTTCCGGGGGAAAATCGTTCATTGTTCGTTGACGGTATTTGCGAGTGAACTGAAGATGAAGTGGGATACATCATCACTGAACATGCGTTGGCTGCGCGCAAAGAACATGTTTATGCACAGACAAATTGTTAGGCTTTGAATTAAGGAGATGAAGAATATTAATCTCAAATACTTGTAAGCAAATAGTCGAATCCAAGCAGTGACTTCAAAAAAAAAAAAAAAAAAATCACGGCCCACAACTATTAGTGGTCGTCTCTATCTTGCTTATCGACGCTATCCTCATTATCGTTGAAATTATCGATGTCACTGTAATTACCTTTCCTCTTGCCGGCAATGCCATTGCCTTTAATAAGGATTTTAATTATTGAATAATCACTTTGTTCTTAATAATATTCTTCGCACTGTACAATATGATTATAGGTCGCAGCGACGTGTTCAGGGAAACGATTTGACTATGCTGCACTGCCTATAATTTTTTATAAGGCAAATACTTTAAATGAAGCCGGAAATGCAGAAAAAAACTATTCATTTGATGTATTTTTGCTGTGCGCCGATATTTGCCGTACAAGGTAAATAAACATAGATGTAATAAAGAATTCAAAATATGTTCATGTAGCCAGGTGGCCCAGTGGGTAAAGTTCAGAATACTATTATTGGAGCAGAGAGGTGCCTGTCTGAACAGAATCGGCAAGGAGGCCAAGCGTTTACGCGACCGTGCAGGAGTGGAAAAGTGAGTTGCGCGTTCGAGACCGCAACAAGCTGTGAATTTCCTGATATTTACTGAAGCCGCTATTACTATTATGCTGCGAGAAGATGCTTGCAATTTGGTGTCATCTCTCAAATTATATCTTCGATTATAAAATACATTGTATCAATTTTATGTACCCTTAATTGTAGCTACATAATAATATTTCCCACATTTAAATCGAATTTTTAGTGCAAAGCTAATAAAGCTCTGTTCAAATGGTTAAAAATTGCTATAGTCAGTTACCGGTCCGACACTTCAGCGAACTCGCGTGCGAACTGGCCTGCGAACCCGAATGCAAAACCTAACTTAATTTTCAACTCAAACACCCATAAATCCGTCAATAATGAACGGATTTTATTCAAATTTGAAATATAAGTAGATAATATCAGTAATTTGTGGACGGAATTTTTTCAGATTTTTACATAACATCAATAAAATTTTTTTTACATCAATAACTTTTTTTGTTAATACGGAAAACCTAACTTCATTTTCAACTCAAACACCCATAAATCCGTCAATAATGGACGGATTTTATCCAAATTTGAAATATAAGTAGATAATATCAGTAATTTGTGGACGGATTTATTTCAGATTTTTACGTCAATTACTTTTTGTTAATGCCACAAAATACTGAAACTTGACCTGAATTATGAGTGCCTGAGTTGAAAATGAAGTTAGGTTTTCCGTATTAACAAAAAAGTTATTGGAGTAAAAATTTGAAAAAAATTCCGTCCACAAATTACTGATATTATCTACTTATATTTTAAATTTTAATAAAATCCGTTCATTATTGACGGATTTATGAGTGCCGAGTTGAAAATGAATTTAGGTTTTGCATTCGAGTTCGCAAGCGAGTTCGCTGAAGTGTCGATTCGGTGAACTCGGAGCGCCAAATGCACGCTTTGCGCAATTCCTTCACTTTTAACTGTTTCAATTATGAATCTTTTTGTTTTATTTTTAAAGGATTCAGACTAATATTAAGTCGACACAGCAAGAATCGTTGGAATAATTATGCCGGTATCACTTTTAACAAAACGAAATCAATTAATTGAAATGAACAACTAAATGCTCGTATTTACTTAGTATCAACTGTCAACATTTTATGTTGTTCGCGATCTGCTGCTACCAAGTCATCAAGTCTTCACTAAACAAATTATTGGACCATTGGAAGTTTGGAACTGTTTAGTCAAATGTTTCTGTTACGAATTTAGGGCCCGTGCGGGCTCAGCTGTTTGACGGACATTGAACAGCTCTCCAACTCCTGGGCTATTCGATGCAACTCGTTCTTTTTCCCTAAAATTAAAAATGCTTGACATCCAATGACTTTTTTTTTGTGAGGCTTGTTTGTAGCAAACTATTCATAAAGTTTTGCGTATTTCTTAAATTTTTACCGTATCTGAGGCTGAGAGGATGTGCTACAATGGTAGTCGTGACAGACGCGACTGAGCCGGCTTCTCGTGTCAGTGTCATATATTGATATTGATGACTAATTCTGACGAATACGGTAACGTCAGTAGTGACTACTGATCAGCGAAAGTGTCTCTACTTTTGAGCTTTTAGAGGAAACATGGTTGTAGATGGAGACACTTGATTCTGAAGTTCTGTTGTCCCAGAATGAATTAGCTAATTCCCATTCCCAGTTTCCCACAGGGCAGGCGCTGACGCAGTGACGCTGATTAGCATCAGGCTAATGCCTGGCTTAGGCTTTAGTCCTACTTCAAGCATTAAGTTCAGGAATTTTGGCTTATCCCTTTTTTCTAAAATCTTGCCACTAAAGTCATGTTCTTTGGCCACTATCCACTGAATTGGACTTGGGGGCTGGGCCTCTGGGCTCGGCCGCTCTGGCTCTGGACCTGGAACATCATGTAGTTAGCCTAAGGCTTTGTCTCCACTCAGTCACTGCCCAAATTTACAAAAAGACAACTCAAGGTCAGGCTTTTGCTGCCTTTGGCTTTGCAATGGCCATCAGCTGCCGTGCTACACTGCTACGCATTGCATATTCTCTTTTTAGTAGGAAGGAAAAACAAAAAGGGAGACTGGGAGACCAAGCCAGAGCCTCTGGCTTGGTCCAATCCTCTGGCCCAGAGGATTGGAATTTTCCTACTTGTTTCTGAAATTTCGCAGCTGAAACGTGATGATTTTTTAATACGATTGGAATCTTGTGGCCCCGATTGTGCGCTTTTGTTAGCAATCAGATTGGTGGTATAGTCAGATGGGGTAAGACAGGACCAAAATGATGAAATCACTTAACAAGCCTGTAGCATCTATACCAAGAATAACTAAAAACCCTGGCCTAAACCTATCACAAGGTGTATACCATAAAATGGGGTAACTTAGACCGGCAGGGTAACTTAGACCACTTTTTGTTTTTTTAACAAAAACCCCCACAACTCAAAAACTATTTGACATAGAAAAATTTTGTCAATGGGCATTAAAGGCCTAATACTGAGGCTACATAACACAATAGAAAGATTTGAAAAGTTTGCATATCTAATAGGCTAAAAAATTAAAAATGTGACCCATGAAAAAAAGCTATTATTTAAAGCCTGTCAGAGTACCCCCTCCAATTTTTTTATTTTTTGGTTAAATAACTCCAGGTTTTGATGCATTGTAGTAGAACTCTAGTTACATATGCAAATGACAAATTTTAGGAACAACACAGTTTTCTGTACAGATTAAAAAAAAGTGAGCTGGTCCCATCTTACCCCACTGGGGTAAGATGGGACCAGGCATGGGGTAAGACAGGACCAACTGGCAATTCTTATGTTACAAGGTTTTTAATAAAAATACAAATCTGATATTCAATATTATCAATCTAGAAACACATTATTTGATTAAACAACCACTTGTTACTGTTTTGTGTTGAGTTAGAGTTGACGGGAAGTCAACTCTAATATCAGTCACATTGGAGTTTTTGTCATGAGAAAACTTTTTTAAGCATAGTAATAGTGGGTTGGCTTTGGTTCATTATAGAGCACTGCTAAATGCTTCATGTATATTCCATTAGTGTCAATGTCTGAAAATTTATCAAATTGGTAATAAAACCAATGGATAATAACTTAAGTGTCAGATGTCATGTGTTTTCTTGCTAACTGCATTTGTGGTACACTTCTTCTAATGTAACCCAAACCCATGCTCTCTCACAGAGTTGTGATAATAATTATTTTTCATGTTTCACACAATGATTTTTCCCCCAGCCAATCTTGAACATAGTTCTGCAGCTCACTATTGGGAAGCGACAACCCTATTTTCTATGTCCCTTTGATGCAATTTAAAATATTGCACTAAATTACTCTAATTAAAAGAGCTAACAAGTTATAATGGAGTTTGAGCCATAGATAAAATTTTTGACCAAAATACTCTATGTACTGCACAATAATATATTCATTTAGTAGCTATTTTTGATAAACTGTACCTAGGGTACTAGAGGACCATTTGTGGGGTAAGATAGGACCACTTGTGGGGTAAAACAGGATCATTTAGTGGTCCCGTCTTACCCCATGTCCAGTCCTTTTTTACCCCATTTTAGAATACATGTCATGCAGTGATGGTAGCAGGTAGGAATGCCTAGTATGTTTCAAAAATTGCTTATTACTTGAGGTTACCTGTCTACATCCACAAACCTGGCCAAAAAATTTTTTGTCGTTAGACAGAGCTTATTTCCCAAACAGGGTTAACTATTTTGTGACCCTTCTTTACATAGTTTTTCTTCAAAAATTAACCAGAAATTCATTATTTGCAGAAAAGGGTTGCCACAAACACTGAAATGACAGGCAATGGTTGCTCTAACATATTCTTTTGTCAAATTAAATTCAGTGCAATTAGAATGCACGCCATGGGCTGGTCCTTTCTTACCCCATGAAGGCTGTGATCCTGTCTTACCCCATTTGGTTATAATTCAACTGGTGGAAATCTTGCCTTGGTTCCAGAAATGGCAATTGGTGGCCAGCAGGAAAGCTCTATTTGTGGCCCTGAACTAAAGGTAGATGTTTTCCAGGGGGAAGCAACATTAAAAGGAGAGGCTAGAAAGTCATGAAAGTTTCTGTTAAGGGTGAAATGAAAGCAAAGGGAAGAGAAATTCATTGGCTTATTAATAATTTTTGCTATTTGTCAAGTATTGCACTCTATGAACTTATTGCACTAGATAGGGCTAGTTGATATTTATATTAGCTATTGTGATTGCCTATTGGGCCTCTTAGACCCTGACTGAATGACTATTTGTATTACTGTTATATTGTATTATTATGGTATATATTGTACTGTTGCATTGTAATATTATGGTTTATTAGGTATATTATTGTTTTTTTTCTCCACCCCCTCAACCTCCACTCTTGCCAACCTCCTCTCTGACTAAGTCACTCTCCAAAAATTGCTTTCCACTCTGTCAAAGGCTCATAGCAGCAGTCACCCCTGTTGACACGCCCATGGCCCACAAATCATTGCAATCCATTTGTCTCCTGTTTGCTTGTACATCACATCATCACCCTCATTCCTCTCAACCAGTATCACTCAGTCTCATCATTTCCAATCTCTCCTGCTCATATGCATCACACTCCATCAGTCCATCATCAGATGCTCCACAGTTTCCCTCTCACCTCTGTCACACATAAAACAAATGTCCTCTCTTCTCTCATTCCACCTGTATGTCTATGCATTCACACTCAATAGTCAATGCATTTGCCCTCATACAGAATATTAAGTCTCCACTCTCCACCTCTACTTCCATCATATATGTACTCATACCTTGGCAGCTCTTTCATCTTGTACAATCCCAGGCTGTCCTTTCTTTCCATTCCTTGCTTCCAAACTATTAAACCACACAATTTCACTCTCTTTTCCATTTATTCAGATGTTTGAGACTGTATGTATGTATGTTTGAGAAATTGAGACTGTATGTATGTATGTTTGAGACTGCACTGAGTAAAGTTTTGTTACTTTGTCACTGACAACTGTCAGTTGTTGCCAACTAATTAAGTCAACTCCAACAAGATAAGATCAGGGTTTCAGGCCCAAAATTTTGCCAGTATTAATTTACATATGTAGAGATAGTGACCTAAACCTTCAATATTTCTAGCTAGAAACACATGTGAAAAGGTAATTAAGAAAAAATATATAGGCAAGCTCTTCTCTATGCATGGATTATGCAAGTTTTTAAATATATATATTTACTCACTCTCTGCCCCTGGGCCCCATGGTTTTCAGCACAAATTTTGTCTCAGCCTCTCAGGGTTTATTTAATAAACTAAACAACCTTCAGTCTCAAATCTTGCACAAGCTAATCCACCCCTGCAGCTCTGTGCCTCTGTCATTTGTATCTTTTCTGAAATTCTGTGAGCTATGTCTTCCTTCCTTGATTAAAATATTTGTTCTTGCAATGATGAAAATGCAAATAATTGGTTCAAGGAGCATGGTGGCACTGCCAGAGACTTTCTTTGGAAACATCCTCATGTATTTTTTTTTAGTCTTCCAAATAGACCAGTAAAGTATCATGGATACCAGCATCATCAATTATCATGCATAAGATAGTAGCTCAAATTTTGAGTAGAAGCAGAAGTATAAAAAGAACCTATTCTAAAAAGTCTGTGGTTCAACACTACAAATGTGTGAGCTACAAATGAACTATACTTTCGATATATTAGCTTTTTAAAAAATTGGTATTAAGAGTTAGTATCAATTATCATGAGTTTCGAACACACTTACTTCAATTTACAATTGTATTTCTGAATTTATTGAATATTTTTCAGCACAAGTATAGTTTAGGGAAATTTGGTGTGGCTGTGCCTTTCTTTGGAGTTTGTACCTACTCTCTTTGTCCTTGATGGCACAGGATAAAAGTAAGCCCTGCTGTTCAGGGAAAGTCCGTCCATCTCAGCTGCCAATTTATGATGACCCTGATGATTTATATGAGTAAGTTTACACACCACATGGAATTATTAAAATTGTTACAATTTTTAATGTGTTGGAATTTTATTTGAAAGCACTTTTTCTACACATAGTTAATATTGGTTAATGATAGCATGGAGCACTTTTTTATACATGGTTAATAGCTGTTCATGGTAGCATAAAATATTCATTGAAATAAATTTATGTATGTTCTGGCATAGTAGAGGTTAGTTTATCCTTTACTTATTCAATTTTTTATCCTTATATGCAACAATGAATAATTTCATGACATCTCTAATATTCTGGATTTCCAATTCCAGTATATCCTATGAAGTGTCTGGCAAAGGACAGCTACAAGAGGGAGTTGAGATGGTCAGGAAAGAGTTGTCAGGAGCTGTCGATGCCACTAAGGAGCTCAGAGACCAAGTTAATCACATTTATCAAACTGGCATAGCCCACACTGCTGGTAAGTGAGACCTTCATGTCATATCATTCTACTTGAATTTTGTGTAGTACTGTAATTTGCACACTTTCAATAAATCACTTACCATTACCTGATCAGAATTGATGTTCACTTGACTAGAAAATTATGAGATTCAAAACACCTTTGCTAATTTTTTCCAGAGCAGATTTAAAGTAGAAGTTTATATAAAATTTGAGGGCCTGACTTTGATATATGGTCCTGAAAACTAACATGAATTGGCATAGGTATTTATGCAACTGACTTCAATAGAAGCTAACTGTTTTCTCATTACCTAAGACTAAATGTGTGAGTTAATTTTTCAAATTAAATTTTACTCCATTTATGTGACTTCAAAATGGTGTTATTTCTCAAAAACCAAACCAAGTTTTAAGTCAGTTGATTTTGCCCATAGCCACTGTGTTCACTCTAATGGAAGAATTCCCTTTGGATCGTGAGTAATTGAAATTGTACTATTTATTTTTTAGCTTAATGCATTAGATTTTCTGGAACCTAGTATCTTTTTGAATTATTTTCATTTAGCTTCAATTAGATAATATTGAAGTTATCAATCTAGATTACAACTAATAAATTTATTATTTCTACTTTGCTTTGTAGTTTTTTATTGCATTGTAATTTTATCTGTATATACTCTGCTCTGTAAATTAGATCATATTAAACAATCCTGCTGATTTTTTGACCAACCACAAATCAGGCGACTATTATTACGCCATAAATTTTGTATGCATGTTTGTCTTACTGGTTTATCCTTCCAAAGCAAGTTTATAACTAGCGCAACCATTAAATTTTGTGTGCCTGTACCCACTGTTGTAGGTACTGCCTTGATGTTCAACAAGGCAGTACTGCCTTTTTTATGTTCAATGGAGGCTAAAACCATCGATTTGCTAGCATATTGGAACTACATTTTCCAAGCATACAGTAGAAAGTTAATGCGATTTTTTTATTATTTAAAATAAATTCTTGATCTCTTCAGTCTCAGCTTGACTTTTCAGCCTGGCTTACGTTTTTTTAAGCTTCCTTATTGAATAATGTATGAATTCTGGAGATGGTCATTGATTGTATTTAATATATCTGTCTTCATTATTATTATTCTACACACTGGACAAAGGTTACTGTTTCTTACTATCATCTTTTGTCTATTTTTTCAGATATATTTGAATTTTTAAACATTTGAAATTTGATCTTCTACTGTTAATAGCTCATCATGAGTAATTATGACTTTGTTGTCATCAAGCACTATTTTCATGCTCTTTTCTTGCATATGCAATAATTACATTGTTTTTGTTTTTCTTCAATCTAGGATATTTCAATGGAACTTTCATCATTCACAAACAATCATTACATTATTTAAGTTTTATTTCATTCTTATGAAATTAAATTTCATTTGCATGCTGTCCATGTATCACAGGGCAACTTGCATACCTGAGGGAGGATGAGAACATTGTGCAGCGATCTGGTGCCATTGCTGCAGGGGGCGTGCTGGGGCTCTTGCTTGGGGCTCGTGGCCGCTTTTTCAGGAAGCTCATATACGCTTCTGGTGGTGCTGGAGGTATATATACTTTGAGGCTCTCTAAGGAATGCTAGTAGTCAAAAATGTATTATGATCCATTTTCTCCTATATGAAAATTTTTTGTGGTTCACACAGTATGCCGAAATGCACGTTTGAATCATTTTTTTCAGACAATAAAGCAAAGAGATGTTTATATATACCTTAATCTTTATACTTTCGAGATGTCAATTTATTTTGTATTTGAACATGATGGATACAAGATGAAGTACCTACCCCCCTTGACCAAGATGTTTCCTTAGATACTGCCGGTGTTCTCTACCACACAACACCGAACTTGTTTCTGCAGTTCAACATATTGGACACAGAATGTGTCCTGGTTCAAAATGTGTCCCCTAATCACGATGTTCTTGCAGGTACTGCCGGTATTCTCTACCCTCAACACTCGAAGCAATACATGCAGGAGGCCTTCGACGCTGCCAACACATACAGCACTGTTGCATATAACTTCTTTGTTGGAGGTGAATTAAATATTATCGTCCTTGTGGTTTGATGTTATGCATTACATGTGTGGCTTCCATATGAATATTTCATCAAATTCTTTCCTAAAAGCCATGGGCATTTTATTGTTATTTATTGCCTCTATTCAATGCACAGCGTTCTGTTTGATTAATTCAACCAAAAACTATAAACTTTGTTACACAGAATCGATAACTGTGCTGTGTGAATTCTTGAACAATAATATTTCTGTATGAAAAATTGGCCCAATTTTTGTAACAAATGTTTACATGTGTTTGCTGCTTGTTAATTAAATTTGTGATAGGTATCATATATGTGGCTGAATTACTAAATTAATTGTAATTTCCTTCTTCCAACCTTTTCCAAATAATTACAAATTACCAGAGTCATTAATTAATTAACAAATTAAAGCAAAAGTCATTGAAAGAATTTTTCCAGTTTCATTCAAGAATCAATATCTTGGGTTTGTTTCCTTTAGAGAAACTACTGGCAAAAGACTTCTCCGGATTATTATTCGACTTTGATGTACAAAGGAAGTTTTCAATGCAGTGCGTTCTGTTCTCTTCTTTGGTGGTAGAATTCAATAGGCTCAGCAGAAATATCTTGAACCATACAACTCGTTCAAAAATATGGTTTCGTGTGACACAGCTAATAATGATATGCTTGCAACTAAGATTGTCTGTTACTACTTGTAGGTTTTCATAGTCACAATTGCTACCATCCTACTAATATTTTCGCGTTTTATAAATTCTTAATTGTGACATTTTTCAATCACGACTCGTATATAAATGTTTATGCTAAACCCAAATAACGGTTCCGATTTAGATGCAAGTAAGTAAATGTAGGAAAATTATTTTTCTTTAAATAATTTATTTGGTGCTTCTTGTCTTGAAAGTTTTACGTTTCCAATCCCCCAGGTGCTTTTTTGCAGTGAACCGATAAGAATTTTCCAACTAACTTTATCTAGTCGGTTTTGAGCATTCGTATATTTTGGGTAAATTTTTAACCATAGATCAATGTTGGTGTGTTAATTCTTTAATATACTGTATTGCATGAATTTTAGCTAAATCAGTACTACGAGATGAATCAAACCGATGGTTTTTTCCTGTTCATTGTTGCTGCAGTGAAGCCCCAGGCGTCGACCGCGTCGGACAAAAAAGAGGCCACCACTGCACCTGCTAACGCTTCCCTTGACGATGATAAAGTGGAGGTAAGCAACCATCTGTACCCATCCTTGCTGACCCTCCCTCACTCGCGCCTCTTCATCAGAAGAGAAGAGAAAAATTACTGGCCTTACGTGAAGACGGTCAAAGAAGCTCCCGCGGCCACCCAGGGCAAGAGCCTTGATCGTTTGGCTGAAGAGGCGAGCCAAGTCACTACGCTTGGATTCAGGCTGATAGAAGCCACCCCAACCGAAGGTTTTGGTTCTGTGGCGAAGATTCCAGAGAGTCTTGCACAAGACAATGTGTCAGTAATGCAAGATATCGACGAAGAAAAATCTGACTCTGCAATTAGAACTTCGTGTCCGGTAATTTGTTCAACTGAGAACTCTTTAGTTGACAAGAATATTGTGAGTCCTCCCACCAACGATACTACAGTGTCTGTTATTAGCCATAGTGTAGAAGAAGTGGAAACTGAGCATGAATCTGATTCAGATGCAAGTGTCAACTTGGAGAAATCAGTTTCTAAATTAGCAAATGCTGCTGTTGAAGCTACTGTTGTTATCAAACACTTGGAAGAAGGTGCTGAAAAAGTTGTTAATTTTGCACATAAAGTCGAGGAGGGAGCAAAAGTTGTACAAAAGGCATCAGAAATCACTGAAAATATTGCTGATAAGATTCCTTTTATTGCCGCCGAAGTAGGATCTGCGGCAGAATTCGTGAAAGAAAATGCACTAGTCGTAGAAGAAATCTCTGAAAATATTGGCGCAATTGCAGCAAAAATTAAAGATGGCCTTGAAGAAGTCGAAAGTGTTACCGAGGCTCTAGGAGATTCTTCACCTGGATCCCATCCCGTAAAATCTGCCGTAAAAAGCACAAAAGAAGAAAAATTTTCCCTGAAAGACAAAGTTGCTATGTTTTTCTCTTCAGGAGATTCCAAAACCGCAGCCTCGTCCCCAACGCCTGACCCTGTCTCTTCGGGCACTGACGAAACTGTAGCAAAACCTGCCAAAATATTAACCGAGTCCGACTCTGCCGAGCTAGATACGAAATCCAAACTCGATGAGCCTCTGATCCCTGATGAAAAACTCGAACCTGTAGTAGACAATGACGCCTTAGTTGTACCTGACGCGCAGACCATGACTGAAGAAGCTGCTGCATCTCCTGATTCTGAAAAAGTGAAAGAGGTCATTCCTAAAACGAAAGATACGCTAATAGAATCGACTACAACCCCCGAAACCGCTATTGCCGTGAAGCCTGAAGTATCCTCTGGTTTACTGGGAAAAATATCTAGTTTCTTCAAATCTGACGATTCGTCTAGTACTTTGGTGAAAATAATTCATGAGCCTTCGTCCACGAACGATTTAAATAACAATAAAGAAACTGCTAAAGTGCAGACAAATCAACCTCCTGTCTCAAATAACAGTCATGATGCGTCAATAGCACAGAGTCCCTCAGCGGATGAGACTCAATCGAAGGTTGTTCAGAAACCAGCTATACCTGAAGTCTTGTTGAAGAAAAACGTGACAGCGTTAGATGAACAGAAGAAAAATATAGCCACGATGATCGATTCAAAACCGCTCGAAGCAAAAGTGGCAAAGCCAGACACACCAATGAAATCATTACCAGAAACGGAATCTTCATCTGTGGCTCTAGCAAAAATGGCCCCTCCTAATATCAGTATTATTGTAGACTCTAAAGCCGATGCAATGGAACCCAGAAGACGTTCAGTGTCTCAAGTGCGGAGCGTTGGCGACCTCATGATAATCGAGTCTTCGGGCAACAAGAACGCCTTTCTGCCGGACCTCGCCGAGTCGCTGCCGGTAATTGGCTGATGTTGACATTGCCTCACTCTTCAGCCTGCTATACTATAAATGTCCCAAAAATGTTTACTCCTCATATTTAATTTTGTATTCGTGCAAATACCTGCTAATTAACATGGTCTTCCTCGCCGGTTTCTTTGTTGCTGTCGTACTTGTGTAATGTGGCTAAGTATTGCGTGTCTAATGATTTCTCGTGGTGACTGAAATACTAACCTCTTCGATCACTATTCCATTTCTTCTATGTGCTGGGACTTCGATGGGACTATCCAGCCTTATTAATTTTCTGTTGAACAAGCGTGTTTTAACGTGGTGATAACCTGTTCTCAGTGTGCCTTATTAACTATACATTCGCTGCACATTTCATACTTCTGCTTGAGTTGTTATTCATTTTGTGTCGACCGGTATCAACAAAAATGTGCGAGGTAAAATGCTCCTGGTGACCAACAATTTACTGTATCGTTGAAAGTATTATATATCTAGATGGGTCTTCATTATTTAGATAATTTATATTTATCGATGCAGTAATTCTGAATGCTGTCTGAGTTTGATAACGTCTTCATTCTTCACTTTTTAATCTTACTAAGTTATCTCATCTCTACCAGGGTTTGTAGCGAAAGTGGCCCCAAAAAAGTTACATTTATATAAGCCAATATTGGCTCCAATAGAAGGTATGATGTCGTTCCTCAAATTCAACATGCGACGAGTAGAAGAAAAAATCCCATGTCTTGCGTACTTGAGCTGACCGACAGCTTCCTTGTATTGACCGCGTAAACCCAACCCGACCAGCATGAACATGTCTCTCGCAAAGCGCCGAAGTGCAGTAAATCCTTTATTCGATTGTGCAGTCAATCGTGTTTTCGAGTGCTTTTTTTCCACTAAAAAAGATTCTGATTATTCAGTTTCATGATGGTTGAACATCTCTCTTGAAAACCCTACTTGCTTATGAAGTATGTAAGCAGGTGTTGATTTTCGAATTTTGACTGAAAACAGTTCGGAGGGCCGACTGAATCAACCTTTTTACAACCATATGTCTCGTCCCAGTCAGGGTAGAATACGGAGGATTAATATATTAACAGCTACATCATGACGACAGATTTGAGGACATGAAACTGTAGCTTCTCTATAACTCGGCTGACAATTTTTGACCGAGGAAGTGACCCAGCTAAATCGATCCTGGATGTATGAACTTGAACCACCAGTCTCAGAATTTCACTCTGGTTCCAGTAGCTAAACGGACTTCACATTAACATTTCACAAACGTTTTAAGGAAACTATCATCGTTTTGTGATTTTCCTGGAACCCATAGAAGACACCACTTTTCCATGTCTGATTGAGTCATTCATTAATTATGCCATCACAACGAAAAATAACATCCGCTTCCATGGCGGGAGGCGTTCAACTGCAACGAGACGATGAGTCAACAGGATCTCAAACTGACTTAGTCCTCGATGATTTCACTCCTATTTCCTTATTACTCCACGATTCAATTGTTAGTAATTTTATGTATCAGCCACAGAAAACGTTTAAACATCAATAGGTGTCCGTTAAAATTCAGTGATCGTATGCAATTCTTTGCATTCGACAAATTATATTCTCATCATTATGATCGGATATTTCAGAATTTTCCTCCATTTCCCGAATCGCGTTTATCGTTTTATTAGGGACACATTTGAACAACGGAATGTCTTGAAAAGTTCGGTGAAATTTTTTGGAAATGTATCATCATTTGGCCAGATATATGAGCCATGAATAGCTGACGACGCCATTATCTGGTCGATCAGCCAGTTGCCAATGTATGAAGCTGTGATAATTCTGCAATGTCTATAATCGGCGATCAGTCCAACCTTACCAAATCTTCAAAGCTAACGGAACTATTGTCAAGAAATGCCGTGGTTTGTCTCGTCTGTTGAAGCATCACCACTTTTCTTCCAAGAGTGCCATTTTCACAATCTTTTTCTATTAAATTTTCTTTCCCCTTGAATTTATTGAATGTGGTCGCTCGATAGGCGTTTGGTCTGATGAACTAGCTGGTTGTGTGATGATTCGTTACATTTCAGACTGCATTTATAAGAGTTTTTAGTGCCGTGTTTGTATTTTTAAGCAAATTCAATAAATAAATAAATCATTTTGAATAAAAACTTCAAATTTAGTCAATTCATTTGTTGAAAATTAATGACGCAGGTCAAGAAATTGACGCAGCGTAAATTTAGGACCCTCTAAACAATAAATGGCTGCGTTTTAGTGCATAAACAATGCCACCGTTTTCATTACTTTCGGTAACTTCATTGCACATTCAGATCTGTTAGAAGTCGATTGGTTGAATTCCTGCATTGGTAACTTTAATTCATACTTAGTTATTTACTTATTTCGAGTGCTCATTTTTTATTGGCTCTGCATATCGTGTTCTATTCATCCTATCCGCACAAAAATAAATTGGTATGTATGTTCCCATGGTTGAACTATAACTAGTTCAACCATGGTATATTCCTGCCCATATTACCTCTTAATATTCTATTTGTTTATAATCCGAAACAAATTTCTTCTCTACTGTCCAATATTTTTCAGTGAAATTTGAAATGCGACCGCGCTTCTCCATCTGCCTCACTGTGCACTCAACTTGTTTTATTAAAGACCGCTGAGGTTTCAATTACAAATGCCATTATTCTCCGACATGGCATGGGGCCAGGTCCATTTAAAGCTCTTATTTCGATGTACACTGAACTAATTAATTGATAAATGTATACTCACTATGAATACTCTAATCTCTATTTTTTCTAGGAGGCGAGCAAGAATGAGCGCAAGGCCGATGCCACCGAGGACCACGGTCAGAGTAACCCTAGCGACGCCGATATGTACACCACCAGATCCTGAGCTCCCATGACATCATGTGCTCGGCACTTTTTTCCATCAACTTGGACAGAAACGTATACTTCGAGATTCCCAGTGCTCACTTTATAGCAGCATTTGATGACGGAACTTCATCATGTATGGATCACTTAAAACGCGATGATTTGAAGCCGTGCTTGGTTTTAGAAGCCTGATCATCATCTTACATGCCTATTCCCGAATTCTTTTTCTCGCAGGCAACGGAATCTCTTGTAGCTTCGAGATCACAGAAAAAGAAAATTCCAGGTAAAAATTCGTCATTGCACCATGTGACGTGGTTCTTTGAACATGCAATCCACGATGCCGACTTTGAGCTGCTCAATGCTCATCTCCCATATCAGGCTGTATCCTCTCCGACGATTTGAACCCGACCTTATTCACGATATCGTTTGTGGCCAGTCGGTCATGATCCGCTCCCTATCCGACAAAAACACGTCCGCAATTCAAACTTTCCTAATTATTAGAGCGGATCTGATTTGGATGATTAATTTATTGATTAGAGTTTTATGAATGATTATGGTTACACTTCATGAAGTGACTTAGTCGTTAAATTCCAAATAAAGGATCCATCCGATAATGCTTCTGTTAGTACTCATACTGGTTAATAAATAAATTGTTTACTGGCCAAACTGAAATATAGGTACAGTTTCGAGATGTAAATAATGGCAACACTTCCCGCGTAAAGCTGGAGAGATGAGTAATTATGCCGTCAAAATAAGACTTTCGACTCTTGAAAATAGCGTAAATTGTTCCTTCGAATAGATTGAACGTGTGCATCACCTCCAGAGAATAGCCGAGATGGTCTCGTTAACAATGTTTACGACTGCATGACACAATTACGTGCCGTTTCACTTATGAAGACGGGGAAGAAATCCCGAAATTTACCTGTTTATATTTCCCTCACATGTATCAATATTTGTTGGTGTAAATCGTGCGTCCTACGTGTTACTATGCGTCATGACAACGGCGGTTACTATGCGTCATGACAACTATAACACTATTATTTTATGTAACGGTGCTTTCTGTTTTCTAGGTTGTGCCAAGATGAATTATGTTTCACTCCGCTTATCTTGAAATGTAAAAATTGCGGCTTTTAATTACAGGGGTATGTATATAAATGTGTTTTTCCTTCATCGTATATTGCCTGATAGATAATTGGAGATTACCTAAGATGTGATCTTATCTGTCTTATGAAGACTGGGACATCCGGGGACTTCGGTCTCTAACATCCACCTTCAACTTCTACAAGCAATGTATTTTTTATTCCCTGGATTTCACATAACATTATGAATGGGATACCCGATTCCCATCTATTATTGTAATTATCACGATTCGGTTCAGGAATCCACTTGCAACTGTTTTCTATTTTACCACCATTTATAATCATCCTCAAGGGGTTGCTCACGAAAGCATCTAAGGGACACAGCTTTCCCTGGGGAACCTTACGCTTGTAGTTAATCGCTCTGTAACGATAATTGTTTCATTTCTATCCTTGTCTCGCACTTGGTTAAATTTACATGTTTGACCAATAATATTGGCAGATATACAACGAATAGTTAATTGTACATGAATAATGTGGTGCCAGATTTTCTCGAAGACTGCGAAATAAAACTTCATTTTTGTACTTTTAGAGAACAGGAACTTCAATAGAATATGAAGAACGTTGGAAAGCAATTACATGTGAGGATAAATTTTTAGGCGCAGTTGGGTGCTCTTTTAAGTCGGTGAAGTGCGACGCAAGAAAATTCTGTGTTGTAACTGAAACGTTTATATACTTCTTAATAGCATGCACTCTGATAAACCGGATATGGCTAGCACACTAAAAACGGCCAAGGCTGCGCTGCGCCTGCGTATGAAGGATATTCTCAAGAGTTTAGAATCGTCAGAAAAAATTCGCCAGTCGTCAGAAGTGACACAAAAAGTTTTGAGATCTGATGACTACCAGAGGGCCGAAAGACTGGCCTTGTTTCTAAGCATGGACGATGAAATCGATACGAGGGAAATATTATATAATGCATTGGAGACGGGCAAGATTTGCTTCATTCCCAGGTCAGTGTTTTCATGACATCACCTCTGTATTTTAACAATTTACTCTCTGATTCAGTATAAATTTTCTAGATCACCCAATTCATCAAGATTTTTGCGTGATGTGTGCCCGTAGGCCGTATGCAATTCTAGGAGTTCTATTTGTTGTCATATTCGATATCGTTGGAGAACATATTGGATCGAACTGAATTTATCCTCAGAGAGGCATTTCTGACCAATTTTCTTCAAGCGTTCGAATTCTGGCACTAAATCTCGAACGTTTGAATAATAATTCGTTGCAGAATATCGATTCGACTATTGAAACCATCTAATAACCTACAGTAAGATAAAAATCTTCAATTCAGTGGCTTTAAAATTGGTGTATTCTGGTGTACATATTGCGACCATCCTCTTTGGTCTATGGAAATACAGGTGGCTCGACACCTCATCATACGAGACAATTCATCATTGACACATACCATCATCGACGCACTTCATCACCATATTTCATCATTGCGCAAACTGCAATTTCACCTCTCTTCTGGACCGAATCTTAGAGAGCCAGAACGAGAATTTATTTACGCTCTATACTGTTTACGGTAACAAGACTTTTTAGTAAGCGTCTTCAAAGTTATATTATATTTATTTCGTATTATATTGGTGGTCAGCTAATTGCACAGTTTTACTGAAGTGACTCAAGTTAATCATCCTGTCCCTCTAGATACGATAGCAAGTCCAGGCAAATGGAAATGGTACGGCTTCATTCCCGCGCCGACTACGACCAGTTGCCGGAGACCAGTTGGAAAATTAAGCAACCTCCCTTGCATGAAGAACGAGAACAGGCGCTCACTACAGGAGGGCTCGACTTGGTCCTGGTTCCTGGCTTGGCCTTCACATCTGCAGGCCACAGGTCAGCCTGCGGTCTGGTTATAAGACATGTCTACGAACAGGGACCTGTTCGAGGGTTGCTAACAGTAACAGGTAATGCTAAGAAGAGTTACAACCGACATACCAGTTGACCTTGCAGCATTCATTTCGGAAGCTATGAATTAAGAGTATCTACGAGTGCTTATTGAACAATGAGGAAAGATTGTTCGTTGATAAAGAATTTTGATAGGCTGACAAAAATATCTCTAATAGTAAATAGAAATTGTTTGATATCGATATCCATTATTATATAAGCCGTGCCCATATTCTTGCGCTTTCTGGTAGCTCGCTAGCAGTGGGAGAGGAGGTAGACATTGCCTGTTATTGTAACATTGTAAATTGTTCATACATTGAAATTGAAATTTTGTTCTATTTTCAAGGCAACATATGCATTAATCAGCTTGTGAGCAGGCTTGGCCGCGGACGTGGATACTACGACACATTTCTGAGCAAACTCCCGTCGCCCGGACGAACGAAGCTGTTGGCGTTGGCATTCTCTGAGCAATTGGTTGACGACGTGCCTACTGACGCATCAGACGTGCGAGTGCACGCAGTTATCACTCCGTGACGCAGCAAGTGTCTGCGGCTTGACAATAGAAAGGAAGAGGGGAACTAAATATTGCTCAAGTTATGTGACAATTAAACCAATGTGGTATATCAAGAACGGTGGAAGTTCTTATATTATCAGTCTGCTTATATCGCAAGTTTACTAGGAATTTAAAATCAAAGAAAACACCAAGCAAATTCACCATATCGATATTGAAAACGTTTCGGAGTCCAGCTCCATCATCAGTTCGAAAAACTAAAAATGAATAAAGTCATATTATTGAATCAAAATTTTAAGACATAAAACCTAAACAAGACCTAACATTATATCGGAAAAAAACAGGACTCGATTGGAACAACTTAGTCCTAGGGTTCACGGAAAGAATATAAAGCCTAGTGATTCACCATTTCGATATAATGTTAGGTCTTGTTTAGGTTTTTTGTCTATTTCAAGTTTTTCGAACTGATGATGTTGCTGGACCTCGAAAAGTTTTCAATATCGATTTGGTGAATTTGCTTGGTGTTTTCTTTGATTTTAAATTCCTTACATGTCTATCTAAATTCTATACAAAATTATGAAGAAATTGCAGCTTAAAAAATGCAATAATGGTAAAAATTATCATTTTTTTTTTTTGTCTTGATTTTTCAGTTCAGTTTTAGAACGGTGGATATGTAATTAGTTTGTAATTTTGTCTCTTTTACCTGAAGTCAATCTTAAATATTCACGAGCAGTTGTAGCAAGTTTTTTTTTATACTGGTATACTGATTGACTCGAGTTTTTGTTTCCGAGTAACTACTCTTACAATGATTTTTTCAATGATGTTTTTTAGACCATAGATGATGTGAGGGTAATAAGACACAAATAGTACTTGCGCTAGTAATAATTGGTTCAAACACCGCTGGGTGCGCAGACAGCAAGACATCAAATTGGCGAAAAATTTTGCGCATGGTTGAGGAAATTTTTTAAAAATACATTCTCTAATCGTCACAAATGTGTATATATCAGATTTACCAGTTATATATCAGTACTGTGGCATCACACAAGAATATAATGCCAATTACACATACATTCTACACAATGCTTTAAGATGAGATAATGGAGAGACTAACTGGAAATAATTAAGTAAGCAATTCCTTCCCTCAGGAATGCTAATCACAAGTTTCCAAGAAATAAAGCGTGACTTTTCTCTAAGAACAGAAAAATTTAATTAGACAACGAAAATTATGCAGGTTACCTGCAGCAAACAACTGATTGTTTATTTAATGTACAATCAGGGCCCAACTAACTTGAATAATTATTAGCTATTCACTAGAACTTTGATGCAATTGAAGTTTGTTATTGGTATAAGCTCATTTAGCTAAATTGAAAGAAGTCCGTAAAATTTACCTAGCTACTTAGCAACTTCACTCACCTGATATATGCGAAACTCTGACACGCAAGAAATGGATTGTAACATTACCAGCTTCACAAAAAATGATGCTCCACCAGAACAATTTTATCCTTAGATAAACGAATCTATTTTGAGGACTATTTTGTTCGAAGTTGTAAAAAAAAAATTCTCTGATATGAAATTAGGCGCTAAATTGTAAAGCAATCCACTGCTATACCCAAAAAAGCAACTCGCTATTAACCAACTGAACATTATCTGATTCGGGCTTGATAATACCAGGCAGGAAACCAAACACGTGTAGGGGATTAAATCCTAGATTGATGTCAAATTAATTACTAAACACCAGAATATCAGGCGCCTCAACTGAACTGTCAATACCTCATAATAATATCTAAGTCGCCTTTATTTACTACAACCTACAGCTGGCACACGCGACTTCCACGATGTACTGAGGCCCAGCACGAGAAACGCGACTACACTCGAACAGACCAGACCGTGCGAGCGATGGAAAGGGTGGTTACCAGTCTTCTCTTTCACTTACGGTTTCCTGTTTCGCTTAATAATACCAGTCTAATGTTACGATTAATGGAAACTCCAACTCTCTCCGCGGTTTTAAAACAAAATTAGCCTAGAATACGATTCCGTTAATTTCGGGGATTAACATAATTCTGTAATACCGAAAAACTAAACGAATTTATAGATTCAAAATCTGAGCTGAACATAGCTTACTTGAAGCATCGTACACAGTCAATAATTAAAATTTAATTTAGTTCCGATGCACTTGAAGAGAAATTTTAGCAAATAGCTAGGAGAAAAGTGTCGACGGCATATTGACGTGTTATAGTGATGATAAGTGGCTGAAATATTCAATACATACTAATCTGAACCAGTCAATATTCCTACATGAATCTGATTAACAGCGATCTAATCTCACACTAAATGATTAAAATGCTTCTTCCGGAGTTCAAACCTACCTACGCCCTTCAATCGGGATACCAGGGCATCCTTTTCAGACCGACAGAACCCACGATCGCCCTACAACCGAAGATGACAGACGCTCACCACCAACCATGCAGAAATTTTGCCAACTGAATATACAACAGCGGGATAGCGTTGACAGTTTAGTTTATCTCTACAACGAAGTATCGCCGAAGATACCTCCAGAAAGCGGAACAGTGTAACAATATATTCCCGAACACTAAAACAATAATAATTAAAGCACCTACAGCAAAACGACGCTGACAATTTCAACCGACGAAAAATTGCCAGGAACGAGTTTCTCCCGACGACAAGTTACAGCGCCAAGTTTTCCCTAAGTTAAATTATTGCGACGAGAGATTCTCCCGACGACACCGGACGAGCACCGAAAGGTTTTCTCGACGGCTCCGGACGAGCGCCGAAGGTTCGGCTGATGACACCGGACGACCGCCGATAGTTTTTCTAAACGGCACAGGACGAGCGCCGGCCGATAATTCCTCCCGACGACACCGGACGAGCGCCGACAGATTCTCCCGACGACACCGGACGAGCGCCGAGTTTCTCCCGACGACACCGGACGAGCGCCGACAGATTCTCCCGACGACAGCGGACGAGCGCCGACAGATTCTCCCGACGACACCGGAAGAGCGCTTGAGTTTCTCCCGACGATAAACTAGTTCTCACAACGAGATACGCTAGACGCACCGCCGTAATGTTCGCGCGACTTCCTCGGAGGGACGACGCGCGGGCGCCTCCACCTCATCAATAGCGGCTCTCAGCCGGGTAACTGTCGTCACGCCAGCAAGTCGGTCATTAGTAAGGGTAACGCTAGGGTAATCGTGCACATGTCCCATATGTGCGTACTAACACTTATATTCCACTATCGCGTAAAGTAAAAATTATATGTTGGATTTGATATTTAATAAATAGAAACACATTATCAAAAATAGTCTTAGACGACGCAATAGTGGAAAAGCTAAATGAGAGCACGCTGGGAACGAGTTAATCATACTACCAACACTTTATAGCGGTCAACGCGATCACCTTTAACCTCCTTCAGTTATTGGCTCATGTTTAGCATTTATATGACTTAATATGCATGGATATCTTTGCCAAATTCCGAAAATTCTGCTGCCTGTCCGCAGTTGTGGTTTTAAAGAAAGCGAAATCGTCATTGCAGGTGAGCGAGCATTGCGCTGTACTTTATACATATTAATCCAGCTCATCAGGAAGGTTGACAGTTTATGGCAGTAAATGGCGAATGTCTGAGAGGTATGCTCGCAAATATAACTCAAATATGTAACGAAAGCTCGAAGATAAACACCGAACATGGAATTCGTAAATTAGACGTTCATAACTAGGGCATCTGGCCAAGTGGCGTAAGCCAGTTTTCCTTCCTGTAGTTTGAGATACGCATATGAGAGAGATGAAAACAGTTTTAATATAAATTGTGAGGATCATCTGAGTTGAAAATGAAGCGGTGTCCATTCCATTAATTTCAATATGAAAAATAAGTTCGCTTTACGAACTAACCGATTTACGAACTGAGTTCCCACACGAATTAAATTTTTATTACAAGGTCCTACTACGATGAAAGAATTAATAGATTCTGAGTTCAAAATAGGGTGAATTGTTTGACCACATGATATGCGCAATACCCAATACCGCCGCCGCTTCAGTTGACCTTCGATCCCAACTAAAACTTTTCAAGTTATCAAATCAGTCTTCATGTCTCAGACGCATCGGAATCAGAAGCTTCAACTCACACGATACAATACACGACAGAGATGCACGAGGATATTTCTGTAAAATTCAGCTATCAAGACACTATCTTCGAGCCATCGGGACATAATTTTCCTCCAGTGCGTAATGTACACACAAACAAATGCTTCTTACGGACCCAGTGTTTTCCTACAATTTGGTTGAGAAGTACCAACTGAGATCAAACCGAAATCTTTCGCCAAGTATGTAATGTTAAAATGACTCTGTTACATTAGCCGAATGGGTAGATCACTTACCTCCTCAGAGAAGCTGGTGGCAAAGCTGGGTACCTGTGGGACAGCAAACAAACATTTAAAGCATTTGCTGATACGATAAAAACAGGAAGATTAATTACCGGTAATTTTACGCTCAGATTTTTGGTGAGACTGGATCGTTTTGATTCAATTATGGAAAAGATCAGACAAACAATGCACAGCGAGACTGATTAAACAAACTTTTTGAGTCAAGGAGACGAAAACGTAATTGAATATTCAATCCGATAATGGATTAAGATTCATTTCTCTGGTGAATCCAAAACTAGTTGTAAAAATTACTTAGTGCCAACTAGCAATTGACAAACTGCTCGATGAGTTAAGCATTATTTGATAGGATAGCACAGAATTAGCTAATGATCCACAATTAATCAATGTAGCTACAGTCGTATGTTTCTTTGACAGTAAAATAATAATAAATTAGGTAATGATATCATAATCAAATATAAGAATATGGAGTAACATTCAAATCTTAGTTGTTGTTATTGTTGTAATTGCCCATCCTGGTAGTGGCGACTAGGGAGGGGGAGTGATAGGCCAGCTTTTCCGGGTACTTGGTGCCTTCAAATCTTAGTAGCTGGGCTATGATGGTTAATTAGGATGAACATTCTTATGATAGTCAATTAGGGTGAACATTCTTATGATAGTCAATTAGGGTTATAGTCTATTAGGGTAAACATGCAAAGCTGGGGGAGACCTAGGGGGAGGAGGAGAGCGGCGCCCGTAGCGCAGGTAGTCGGCGTGGGGAGGAGGAGGGGGCAGGGCGGGGCGCCGCTCATAGGGGTCGTCCATGACGTGTGGGGGCGGAGGTGGTCCGTAGCCCCGCCTGTCGTAGGGACTCTCGTCGTAGTAGCGCTCGTAGCGTTCAGGAGCCTGGATTGTAGTTCAAGACTTTGTAGTTCCAAGAAGCACAATAAATTAACATGAATACAAACTGTTTCGATTGTCCTTGTCACAAATAAACATAGAGATAACATACAGGTTATTATTGAAGGATACAGGTCTGATTTCTTCAGAAGTAAAGAATACCTATGTGTTTTTTTATGCATCAAATTTCAATGCAAATCAGGTACCATCCCAGAGCAAAATGTTCCAATCATTATTGGTAAAAGAGCTTTCATTGAGATATCGGTGAATGTTGAATGAAAAATCATAACTTACCCCGCACCCCACAACTCACCCTGCACCCACAACTCACCCTGCACCCCACAACACACCCTGCACCCCACAACTCACCCTGCACCCCACAACTCACCCTGCACCCCACAACTCACCCTGCACCCCACAACTCACCCTGCACGCTGCACCCCACAACTCACCCTGCACGCTGCACCCCACAACTCACCCTGCACCCCACAACTCACCCTGCACCCCACAACTCACCCTGCACCCCACAACTCACCCTGCACCCCACAACTCACCCTGTAACGCATGCGGTCCCGGGCGAATGCAGGGGGCATGGGTGGGGGAGGGGGGTAGGGGTCGTAGCGGTTGGCACCATAGCCTCGTCGCTCAGGGCGGTCAGGGTAACCACCTCCCCTGCCACCTCGCAAGTCCCTGGGGCACTCTTTGGACCAGTGGCCTGATGACCCGCACCTGCAACACAATGTGTCAGTCATGTGGCAGGTCATGTCAGTTTTGGGATCATGGCACATTCATTCCCATGAATAAAAACTAGTTTCTTCAATATATGAAAGTGCATCTTCCCAACTTGCTTTAGGTTACTGTAAGTCTAGTTGAGCAATTGCAGAATGTTTACTTTCATGTAATAACTTGGGTTTTATCACTTGTTTTATGAGTGGCATTTTTTGGCAGGGCTATTATGAATCCCCCTAGAGACTTTACTCCCAGATTTCCTTCAAGAATTTCCATAGATAATGCAATTTTCAAGTTACATTACTTGTTGACCATATTTTAGGCACATATTTCTTCTTTTAAAAATCTAAGACAAATTTTTTTGAGATAAATGATGATAATTACAGCTCATTCACTATAAAGATAGTCATACAATAATGGAAAAATATAATAATAATTCTATTCACCTTAAACATGCTGCACAGTTGAAGATTAATTTCAGATGCAAGACTTTTTCAACATTTTGCAATAAAAATAATTTTTAGAAAGGAAAAAATAGCTAGTGTCAAATTCATGCTTTTTAAGTTACCAAATGAGAATAATTATAGATATGTACAAACCCAAACAATTTTTCTCTTAGTAAATGTGCATGTTTGGGAGTATTTTGCAGCTAACAGTGCATCCCACCTGTAGCATTGATCAGGGTTGCCCATGCCTGGAGTCTGCCTCACTCGTGATGTGCTCTCCTGCACTCGCAGTCTCAGGCCGTGCAGCTCATAGCCATCCAGGTTACGGATGGCTTGCAGTGCCTCCATCTCATCTGACATGTGCTGGGATTGACATAGCATAATGAAGCTTTCATTTAAAACATTATTTGGTCCAACCTTTCCTCCATCTGGCTGTCCTAAGAACAGCCAGAGAGAGGGTGAAAGTTTTTGGCTGTTCAGGAATGAATGTAAGTTCACAAATATACAATGGATAAAATGTGTCAAGAATTATTCTCTTAATGTTAAGTGATAATTTACATCCTTAGAATAGTCAGTGTAATTGATATAATATCATGTTAATAAGATATATGAACAAAAAATCACATTAAAGATACTGACTAGATTAATTCTATCTCCTCAGAGGTGATCAAGAAAACAAACTCACCACAAAAGCATAATTTGAGAGGATGTCAGTTTCAATAACATTGCCATAAACAACAAAGAGCGACTTGAGCTCATCAACTTGAGTGTCTTTGTGTACATTTCCAACGAAAATTTTGGTCTTTTTGTTGTTGCCTTTCCTGGCTCCTGTAGAGGCTTCCACAACCATTGGCTGGAAATTAAAGCACTTGTTAGTTATTATTTACTGTATTCAATATTATGAATAAAATATTTTATAATTCAGGAGTCATATCTTACAATTCAACAAATACTATGGCAAAAACAATACCAGGAATGAAAACTATAATCTATATTTACTTGACATGTGGAAATGGGTATAGTGAAATGTCAATGTTTTAAATTGTTGAAATTTCGAAATATTTGTTGCTTTAGTAACACCTAGTTTTATTTGGTAATTACCTTTCCATGCAGAACAAAACAATTTAGAGCATCAATTGCAGCTTTGCCCTCTTCAGCATTTTCCATGTGGATGAATCCATAGTTTTTAACAACATCAGATTCTACAACTGTGCCATGCTGCTCAAACAATTCTCGAATGTCATCACTAGTAGACCTGTCACTCAAATTGCCCACAAATATCTTGAAAGTGTTTCCACGAACTGGCATTTTGCTATCCTTTGCTGAAAAAGTGATAAATGATCAGTACAGTACAGCATTAAAAAAATAATCATAAATATCAAATTATGAAGTTCTGCTAATTTCACCCATTTTGTACTGTTAGCTAAATTGTGTCAATGCCACATAAGTTGCCGGTCATCACTCAGCCCAAGTCCCACCAGCAGAAGCTGCACATACATACCTTCCCATAATCCCATTTGTGACTAAAAACCAGCACCTAATAGGGTAAATGCGGTATATTCCGACATTGTGGGTAATTCCAACACTTCTCGACTTTTTTCCCTTATATTAAGCTTTTTCTTAGTTCCATGCATTTGTTGATGGTTGAAGTAGTGACGTCATACTCTTGCGCGCCATACTATTGCCAAAACACTAGGTCTGGGCAATCTGGCGGGAAAATGTTAAGATCCAAAGAGAGACAGTGTGCGTCACCCAGTGAGAACATCGTAAAATGTGTCAAAGTTGATAGTTGACCTTGCTCTACCAAATAGTGATAAACTGTTTGTGTAGAAAGAATATTATGGTTTGAGACTTTTAAATACGTCTGTATTTACAGACGTATTTACAGGATTCCCAATATATTTATATTGGGAATCCTTTAAGTATACTTGTATTTGCTGATTTCAAGTGGTAAAAAAATTAATAGATGATTAAGTTAAGAGATGGTTTTAGACAAAAAAAAAACGAATTCCGACACAGCTTGGAATTAAACACACACAGCTCGTTCCAAGCTGTGTGTAAAAATTAAAATTTTCTTAATTAAAAGCTTAATAGCTCTTAATTAAAAGCCTAATCAAGTAGTGCTCAATATCTGGATGTGCTCGGGATTAGCAAGTGCAAGTGGGCAGGAGCAGGCAGGACGAGGTTAGCTACAGGACAGACGTTGATATACAGCGGAGATGATGAACTACACGATAGAGGCATTGCTATATTGATAAGTCAACAGGCAGAGAAGTCACTCATGGAATGGACACCTGTAAACAAGAGGATAATAACAGCAAGATTCTACTCGAGATACAGAAGAGTGACTATAATTCAAGTGTATGCCCCTCACAACGAGAATGAGGAATAGGAGAAAGAACAGTTCTACCAAGAATTACAAGAAACATTAGATGGATGCAACAGGAATGACATCACCATCATCATGGAAGACCTTAATGCTAAAGTAGGAAGTGACAACAGCGGGTACGAGAGGAATATGGGCGTGCATGGGCTGGAAATGCAGAATGATAATGGAGAAAGATTATGCTAGTTTTGCCTGCTGAAAAGACTTGTGATAACAGGTACATTATTCCCACACAAGAATGTCCACAAAGCAACACGGATATCTGCAGATGGAAGAGTAAAGTATCAGATTGACCACCTCCTGATCAATGGTAGGAGGAGATCATCTGTCCTCAACACGCGGGCACAGAGAGGAGCTGATATCAATAGCAATCACTACTTGGTGAGGACACGCATCATACTGCACCTCAGTGGTGAGGACACGCATCGTGCTGCCCCTCAGTAGTGAGGACACGCATCATTCTGCGTCTCAGTGGTGAGGACACGCATCACGCTGCGCCTCAGTGGTGAAGACATGCATCATACTGCGCCTCAGTACCCACAGAAACAACAATCGGGTAAAGCCAAGGTTACTGAGGAACGACTGAGAAATGACGAGATGACAAAGAAGTACTGCAGGGCAGTCATAAACAAGCTGGACACCACAAGGAATGATAGTGATAACAGAGGAGATATGGGAGCAGCAGAGGAATGCCTATACAAAAGCCGCAGAAGAGGTTCTTGGGTATAAGAAAAGGGTGAACACACCATGGATCAGCAACAATACCTGAAGGCTGATCGACAAGAGAATTGCCATGATACGGTTGAAAGCACCTGATCAGAAAGAATTAAAAACAGAATGAGAGAAGAGTACAGAGAAAAGGACAGGGAAGTGAAGAGGAGTGTAAGAGAAGACAAAAGAATGTGGATGTCAGAAGAAGCAGCGAGAGCACAGAACGCAGTTGAAAACGGAAGACAAAAAGAATTGTACAGTATTGTGAAGCGGCTGACAGGACAGAATACCAGCACCAGGCAAACTGCAGCAGAGAAGAGTGTGAACGGGGAGCTGCTGAAGAGTAAAGAGGCCAGAATGGCGAGATGGAAGGAACATTTTCACGAAGTTCTCAACAGAGAAGCACCAGAGGAACCACCAGAGGAAGTGGGAGAGGAAGGACAGGAGCTCGATATCTCAGTTGTGGCACCAGATGTGGCGGAAATAAGGGCCGCACTGAAGACCCTCAGGAATGGAGGTGCCCCTGGGGCAGACCAAATTTCAGCCAAAATGCTTAAAGCAGATATCGAATGGACCAGCTTAGAGTTGAAGCAGATATTTGACTTGATTTGGGACCAAGAGACAGTGCCAACACAGTGGACCAAGGGACTCATTTGCAAAATCCCAAAACGACTTCAGGACTGTGGAAACTGGAGGGGAGTTACATTGTTGCCTCTGGCCAGCAGGGTGCTCAGCAACAGCAAGATCCTCATCACTCAGCAGGATACATGGTGGAGTGGATACATTGCGCAGGAAGGAACAAGCAGGCTTCAGGAGGAGAAGAGGAACTATCGGCCAGATATTTATTCTCAGAAACATCCTAGAGCAAGCCAATGAATGGAATGCTACATTGTGCGTCCACTTTGTTGATTTTAAGAAGGCATTTGATTCAATACACCGAGACAGCCTTTGGGCCATCATGCGCCAATATGGAATACCTCAGACGCTAATCGGGCTAGTCAGGACTCTCTACAAGCTACGAGGACTTTTAGATTTTCAGTGCTCCGTGATTGATGAGAACGAAACAACAGAGTGGTTTCCAGTAAGGACAGGAGTGAAACAGGGTACAGGGCCCAGGGCCCCAGGGGTGTTGCATGTCAGGATTTTTGTTCCTCCTTGAGCTAGTATGGAATATATCTACTTGGCGAGCCGCGACTGAATTTTTTGAGCCGTGGTTTTATGGATTTGCCAGTCATGATTCCATTTCTACGAGCCATGATTCTATTTCACCGAGCCGTGAATTCCATATCTCGGCCATGAAAAGCCATTTACGAGGTGCGAATGCGAATTTATTTACAAAGTTTATGCACGTGTTACCCCAAATCTCTAATTTTACCCTCAAACAGTCAAACGGCAACAATAAAATTTGTCTCTACTGTAAGTTCAGCACGTGTTAATATACTGTCTGACCGCTTTGACATGACCGCAACTATGCGCGATCTTCAACAAACGTTTTGTTTATTTGTTTACATTACGATGTTTATGTTTTTTCTGCAAGATATTTTTGGCGGAAACGGTAAAGCAATGCGGATTGCGGAAGTTGAAAATTTTATGAAATGACATGTATGCGAAGTGCAAACCGCGATTTTTAATCAAACAAAAATTTATGACATTCGAGCCGCGAGATTTCATACCTACTGAAATTATATATTAGAGCCGCGATATTTCAGACAAAAATAGGACTTTTCCAGACTAGTCCTTGAGTCCTTGTGAGTTGTGATCGACTGGGTAATGTGCAGGACTGTGGAAGGTGAAAGAACTGGGCTCCATAGTGACAAACCACAGATTTTTTAGAATCGGTTCATTTTTAATTTCCTCATTTACTCATGATTTAAACCAATTTCTTATGTATGATAATGCAGGTATCCAGGATACTTTACTGGTCTACATATAGCCTTATTATAGGACTCAAAAATGAACTTGAGGGAGTCTAAAAAAACTCTGCTTTGCCACTATGCTGGGCTCTGATGGAACTCAACGACCATGCTGGACTAGCTGGAGGACCTTGACTTTGCAGATGACATTGCCCTTCTGTCTTCATCAATGAATCACCTGCAGCAAAAAACAACCAGGTTAGAGAGAATAGATAGAGAGAATAGATAGAATGCGCCATATCCTTATTGGCTTACAATTCTAGCCCAAATGGATGGTCACATAAAAAATCACATGCGAAACAAACATTACCTAACCTAAAATATTAAACCTTTTACCATAATATTCCCAATTGTAACAGTCATGAACAAACTTATCAAAATTCTTCATTGTCAACATTAACAAGTTTACATCTCTACCACTACTACCAGGCTACCAGCACCAGGTAGTGAAGGTACCAGCTGCTTTAGACTAGTACTAGGCCTACCTAGGTAGTCTGCTACTTGAGCTTTGCAAACAAGTGAGATAACACCAAACACCGTTAACACGGGAAATTTTAAACAATTCAATCATGTAATTTAAATTACCATCACGTTTCTGATGTTATCGTTAGAATTTCAAGAAATTATGTATATTAATTATTCAACATGGAATTTTTTAACATTATCAAACAAATCAGACTGCCAGCGGCGTCGGACGCCCTACCTCCAATATTATGAACAAGTGACAATCGGGCTGACTCTGATTTCACCCCATGTAAATGTAAAAATTATTTCAAATCTTGATATCTTGTTCACAGTCTATGAATTCTATACAGCTAATTTGGTAACTTCTCAGTCTTCGTCATTTTCGAATTGAAGTTCTTCTCTGTTGTCAAGCTGATGCTAAAATTGCTGAATTAAAGTAATAAAGGCCTTTGCTTTCAACGCAAATCCTTTTTTTTTTGTAAATCGTGGAGTTTTCTACTAGAAAGTTTGTCATATGATAGTTGAGAAGGGATACGACGTTTTATGGAAATACCATAAGCAAAGAAACATTCCCATTCTTTTCTGTTGCATAGACGTCAATCGTATAAGCATCAGACAGAAGTGGGAAAGTCCGGCTGCAGCTCGACACCTCACGGAAAATTTAAGAGGGTCACACGATGATGAATACGGGGCACAGTTCATGCAACACACAGTTCATGCAGTACACAGTTCATGCAACACCAGGTTCGTGCAACACACAGTTCACGCAACACACAGTACACGCAACACACAGTTCACGCAAAACACAGTTCACGCAAAACACAGTTCACGCAAAACACACAGTTCATGCAACACAC